TGCAATATTGAAAGTATATTGACTGAGGCTTTTATTTGTGTGGCATTTGGATTTATATAAGAGTATTTGTTGAAGAAAATACTTCTAATTGGGAATAAACAAGAGTTTAGTATGGGATGAGACCAGCTGAGCCATTATGTTTGCTTGCCCAGCAATAGATGTTCAAGTTATGGGTGATTGCATCTACTCTGTCTTTAGTAGCATAAATCTGTGATAAAATAGTAATTCACAAATGGGAATCAGAACATACAGCAAGAGCTTGTAGAAAAAGTTTACAGGTAACAAATCACCATATAAAATAGATATGTACCTTTGTAATTCTTAGAAAGGAAGAATAGGGTGTGATCAGTTCAGGATTATAATAACCAATATGAAGTGGCCATGGAAATTAAAAATTTAGGGAAACAGGATGGATGACAATCCCAAGGGAGCAGCTGCTGTGCCAGCACATATTGCCCCTGCTGCTGGGCAGGGAGAGAGCTGTGGCTGATCCCCAGCAATGCAGCCCTTTGCCAGAGGTGGGAACCCTCCTCTCTGCCCTGGCACTAGCACACGGACACTTCTCTAGCATGTGTATATTTATTCACAACCTTCCCAATTCTGCTTTTGTCTGAACCAAGTTAAACTGACTTTAACCACACAGAGGGAATTTCCTGCAGGCTTTGAAAATGCCTGGGTATAAATCATCTAGAATTGCTTCTGTTTCAGTTATAAAAATTGCATCATACCAGGCAAAATTGATGAATTTGAAACTGTGGTGCTGACAGTAATACTGGGAAACAAGCAAGTAAAAGAAATGTTTGGTATTGTACTCAAATGTATCTTGGCCTAAGAAGAAATCATTATAAAAAGCATATCTTCGCCCCAACTTTGCATAGCAGCAAAATCAATTTAAACTTTAACCTCCTTTCTTCCCTCTAAACCAAGTTGTGGTTACATTTGGTTTTTTTTTAACCTTGAGTGTATTTCATTTTAATGCTGAGCAAGGAATTGGGTATCTTGCAAGAATTACTGGTTGTTGGCAGTAAACTTGCCTGTTTCAGGGAGGCACAAATTCCTCTGGTAAAATCTTAGCAACAAAGGAGTTGGTGAGAAAGATTCTTGCTAGATTACATGTGGCCAAGATTTCACCCTTGATCTGTAGGTGGAATGTGAAAAAGTTGCCTTTGAAGCCACATATGTGGTTATTGGTTACAGCATGCTGCCTTCTCTCCTGCCCAGGAACACTCTGTAGCACGTAGGATGTGTAGAGCTGGGAGATCCTTCTCTAAAACCATGAAGGGCTTTTTTCCCATAGGAAAAACAAGTTATTTTAGAGCTTGATAATTAACAAGAGTGGCTTGGAAAGAGAAGGAAATGTCTTTATCATTTGTGAAACATTTCACAGTACAAAAGAAACCGACCATGTATCTGCTTTGGAGTGAAGCCAAGAGTTTTTCAGTGCACTCCCTGTGGATAAAAGAAGTGAACACCCACCCCAAAATCGCCAGGAGTTGAATGGTCAGGGAACATGTGTGGGCTGAAGCAGCCAGTCTGTGGCTGTGAACTGAGAAACATCTGATGAACAGAGTAGTGTTCTCCCCCACCTCCTCCACTCAAGAAAAACCCTGCATCAGACGATTCTCAGGATCAGCTGGTAGTCAGTGTTTGGTTAACCACTGAGAAGCCAGTTCTATTTTAAAGGATATAGTGAGTAACCCTTACAGGACCCAGTTCAGAGATAAAGTTTCTATAACTTGCAACTATTATCCAGACAGAATCCAAATGATCACTTTTTGGAGAACTTGCTTCTGATTAATCTACATCATTGTTGATTTCTGAAGCCTTATTTTTCTGTGTCAGTTTGTGCCCACTAGGGACCTCAGTGAAAGGCTGATATTAGTGGTACCTATAGTCTTTGATTATTAAAATCTCTTATTGACTTGGCCATTTCTCTTTTCCAGAACATCAGAGAATGGAAGTAGGCTCTCATTAATCATTTACTGTTTTGATTTTGTGCTTCCTTTCCTGTACTAAGAATGTGATCTTTTAATGAATTAGCCTAAAATTACTTTTATTTGGTTTTTCTATGTGACAGTCTTTCAGATGCCAGGTTAGTTTATTTGCTTTGACATTCATATTGCATCCTTTTTATCGTGACTCATTAATAGCTTATAAAATATGCATGATGCAGACAAAAGAGACTCAGGTGCCAATTACTGAATGAAATTCAAGATTTATGCCTTATTTCCAAGGCTGGAACAAAGATATTTGTAAGATTATTTGAAGCTTCAAGAAGAGGATTATCAGGTATGGTGGATATATATGTTCTGCCCAGGGTGAGCCAATCTGTGCAGGCAGTTAAAGCTTTCTTTATGGCCTTAGTTGAAGACTATGGCATAAAGTCTTGCAGCACCTAGGACTTGCCTGGCTGTTGCTTGTTATATGTTGCATTACTATCTGTTCTCCAAACAATAATAAAAGTCTGCTAACTGTCTTTATCAAGCTACAAAGCATGATCCTGGCTTTTATAATTTAAGAATAATGTAATTTGCTTGGGTGAAAATATCTGTCCTGTACAAGTGAAGCCTCACAGATTCAGCTTTTCACAGCCTGATTGTTCTAAGTTTCCTCTTGGTTCAAACTCACAAAGCTAAATTTAAAAAAGACTTGAAGTCATTTTTTCACAGCAGCTGTTTGGTTTGTTTAGTAGTGGAATTTGTATGATGACTGGACTTCTGCCAAAATCTCAACTAATCAATTATTTCTGTTCAGTGTAAATTATTTTTGGCATAAGTTATCTTTTCATTAGAGAAATTTAGAGCAAGAATGATGTAATTTGTGTTGTTTACAGTGCCAGACACACTGAAATGACTTTTAGCTAGATTTCACCAGATTGCCTCTTGATACTTATCTGCACCTTTCTATGCAAGTAACCCCATAAAAATCAACAATTTGATCCATCTAGGAGCTAGTGATTCTAGTACTTAACAAGTTACAATTATTGTGGATGTTAGCAAGAAAAAAGGTGTAAGCTATCAGAAGATAGATACAAGGAGAGAATTTTTTTTCAAGTATTTGGGTTGAAGAAAGTGAAAATGCAGCTTAATTAAAGTATGGAGTCTGCAGTTCAAGAAAAGTGTTTAATTTTCTTTTTTTCTGAAACAACTGCAAACATACTCAACTGACCATAATTTCCAATTTTTTTTTTTCTTAGATCTACTTTGGAGTTGTTTCTTTTCATGGTGTACAATAAATGTAATTATCTATTCTTACAGACTAATTTGGTTTTCAGGGTAAGAAAGGCTAGATTGTTCTTTTAATTAGCATTCAGAGCAGGCAAAGAAGAGGATGATAATCACATCTATTATCTGGATGGGTAAACAGTAGTAAAGAGCAGTTGTTCCCTGTCTGGTGCTCAAGTGCAATGCACAGATATAATTTCATTGATCTAATTAACCAGAAGATTTAAGGGCCAGATAATAATTTGGAATTTTATGGGAATGTGTAATATTTTAGGTTTATGTTGTATTTTCCTGCAGTGAAATGGAGAATTCAGAAATAAAGTAGCCATTAATATTTTCTTTGAGCTTTAAAATGCTATGCCTTTCAGGATTTAAAGTGGACTTCCAGCTTAATATAATGAATTGCATTAAAGAAAAACATTGTGATGGCCTCTATCTGTATGATGCCTCCAAACAGAAAAATGTCTTTAGAAAATAGTTCTTTGTATGCCTAACTAAAAAAAATACTAAAGTTTTAAGTAGCATTGTTTCATGCATACTTATTTTTCATATTTATTCTGACTTGGGCTATTTGGACAGCTTTGTGTTTGGTTTGAGTTTTGTACCCTGGCCCTGAAGCAGGCTGGGGGGAGCAGAGGCACCAGCGGTGTGTGAGGCAGCTGGGCTGTGCCCTGCAGCCAGGGCAGGGGGCACAGCTCATGCCCGTGCTCCTCAGCTGCCGCCGCTGAATTCAGATCCTGTTCTTGCCAACACACCAGTGAAATCCTTCTGATCCAGGGGCGTTTGCTGCCCACAGACCGGCTTCCAAAGCTGTGCTAGGGATGAAGGATTCCTAGTTTGGCTACTGCATTGTGTGAGCTAAAGAATCTGCAGGAGTTTCCTGGCAAAATAATCCAATCCTATTCCTGTCATTCAGCCAAAGGGAAACATGCTGACTCTGTATGAGTCAGGGTGTTTTTTTTTATGGGAGTGTTATTTCCAAAGGAATTACATAACCATTCCACTCCTACCACCATGGTAGTCAGTATATTAGCAGGGGTTTGCAAGCTTTGTGCATTTAAATTGACACCTTATCCTAGGAATCAGTGTGTTTTTCTGAGTTACTGTTCCCTTATTAGCCTTTGTACTTGTTGATTATTAGCATAAAACATTTCTGCGGCTATTCAGATTTGCCGCTGATTTTCGAACAGATCCTTTTTTTGATTTAAGCATGACTGCGGTAAAATTTCAAGTGGTTCAGTGAAATTGCTGGCTTGTGTTGGAGTTAGGATATAGATATATGATCCAGAACTATCTCACAAGCAATAAAACAAATTTTGAATTTTAAACCATCGTAGCAAAAGCTACAGATAAATGATTTTGTTTGTCATGTAACCAAAAACAACCTCCAGGAAAGATGTTTGCATTAATTACAGCAAGTGTTACATCAAGTCTGATGTTTGGTGCTAAACAAAACTTCCATGGGAGCAAGAGATTTTGGGACCAGTGCAGCTTTGATATTTGTTACAATTCTAGTGTGGGATATTAAAACTGCAGATGTGCTCTCCAAATAACTAGATGAACAACTTGAATCTTGTTTGTAGCAATAAGATGTAAAAAAAAATGCAGTAAGATGATGTAAAAGTAAATGCACATGGTAATGCCTGTACATGCAAAGAAAAGCACTCTGAATTTAAGATGTAATATATGTTTATATTGTCTTTGTGATACTTTCCTCATTCAACTGAAAATTGCATATTTTTGTTATGTAAAACCTTATGGTTTTATTCATTTCAGACAAGCTCTATATGGGACCAGGGCAACTGTACCATGATCTTCAGAACCTTTTACATGACTTGAATGTACTTGGTCAAATCAGCCAATTAATAAGCAGCCTTAAAGGAAACTATCAGGTAATAAACAAAGTTTGATTTATTTTTCAAGTTTGTTCTTGTAAAGTTGTATAATTGCCTCTCCCTAGGGTTTGTGCAAGGCATTCTTTAGTTCTCTCTACAAAAAGTAGAATAATTTTTACCTCTAGTATTACCTCTAGTTAACAGCATTTACTGTTAAGTGTTATAAATAGATTACAGCTGTCCTTTTAATCTTGCTTTTCTTTATTGTTTTTAAGTGTAGGTGGATATTACACATGTCTTCGTTTGTTCAGTAGCTGATAAGCTTATATGCAAACAGAATTAAATTTTGATGTTAAGAAATTGTATTCTTGCAGTTAGACACAGTAGTAGGAGGATGGTTGCTTGGAGGAAGCTCTTGATCCCCATCCAAGCTTATAATCCTGGCTTTTGGGGGGAAACTGTACTTTAAAACTGAGTATAAATCAAAAAAATATAAAAGGATTTTCAGAAGAATTTTGAAACTATTTTGCTTTAGCTTTGTTCACAGCCCTTTGATTTAGCTTATATTCTGGCAAACAAATATAGTACTTCACACCAAATGAAGTCTTGAGACTTCAAACAATTACTTTTTTTGCTTGTTTTTTTATACATTTTATATGTGGTTTCATGTAGTTTTTAACTCCTACCTGCCACCACAGGTTGCAAATGTGTGTATATATATGAATATATGAAAGCTGAGTTTCTCTTTACATATTTTGGCTTCAGAGGGAAGGCATTAAATAAAACATAGCATTTTGTGAAAATATGTACTTTTAATGAAGTTTATGGAAAGAGTGCTTTTGGAAAAAGCTTCACAAGTATTAGAAGGTGAATTTCATCTGCATAATTGGGAATATGTATAGCACAGATATACCATAAGACATTCACCCATCACCATATAAAAAACCTTTCTGCCTGCGCTGACAGTCAGAGCCAACTATGCTTTGAAAACTTAAAATTCATTGTTTTAGGGTAGATGTGTGTAGCATTATTACAAGAATTAAGTTGAGGAATGAGGTTAGCTTCTTGATATTTGAAAAACACTTAAGTTGTCATAGAATTCTGGTGGTGGAAAGTATGTGTACGTCTGTGTACTTGTTAGTCCTGATGTTTTGTACATTCAGGTGAGGTTTTGCTCCCTGCAACAGAACACTCACCTTGCAGTTATTGTTTCAGCAGCTTCCACAGATTTAGTCAACACATATTTCATGATGGCTCCATAAACATTTTGACTCAAAGATTTGAACAAAAACATATTTTCCATATGATTTGTAAATGTTTTCAAAAGATTTTAGTAGCAGAATTTGTGATGCTGGAATAAAGTAAAAGGCTTGTGCATACACCTGATACAAATACACATGTTTTAATTTGACAAACACTTGGGAATGTCATTTATCCATCATCAAGCTGAGCAATGTGAGTTTTAATGTTCAGATGAAATACATTAGAAAATATTTTAGAGATTTCTGAACTGTGTTTACCATTATGGCTAAATTATCCATGATGTGGTCTAATTGAAGGCCATATGTAGTTGTTTGTCATATTCAGGAATCATCTTATTATTCTGTATGCAACAGGCTGGTAGGCTCATGTTGAATCTTAATTTTTTTAATTTTTCAGAACTTAAATCAATCTGTAGCCCATGACTGGACCTCAGGTTTACAAAAACTGATTTTGAAAAAAGAAGACGAAATCAGAGCAGCGGATCGCTGTAGAATTCAGCTGCAACTCCCAGGAAAACAGGACAAGTCAGTAGAAATCTTGATTACAAAACTTTCTAAATTGGTTTATGTGTTAGGTATAGATGTACGAGTGAGGATTTGGGAATCAGTAGCTGTTCCCTCCCTTCTGTCTCTGTAGTAAGCCCCTGAGTTTTGCTCTTACGCTGTAATGCTGGCAGCTTTAATGTTCCAGAGCAGCACTGTAGCTTTTCTCCTGTTCCTCAACCCAACATTCTGGATGCAAGAAGCAAGAGAGGAGCCATGGCAATGACAGCTAATAGGGAACAGTCACTGTTGTATTGCTTCACCAGCTCCTCTCATAATATTTCATGTAAAGTATAGGAAGATGGACATATGGTGTATCATAGCCTGCACACTTAAATCAGAGCTGAGTCTTTGTCTAAGTATTAGAAAATAATGAAATTTCATCTTGCTCAACATTCTTAGCCATGGCTGTATTCATACCCATGCATTTATAGTGGCTTTTTTTTTTTTTTTTCCCTGTACTGCAGGTCTGGGAGACCAACTTTCTTTACAGCTGTGTTCAATACATTTACCCCTGCCATCAAACAGTCTTGGATCAACAATTTACAAATGGCTAAACTGGCCCTTGGTAATTCCTAATTACTCAAATTTCCTAACAAGTCAAAATAGCTCTCAATGTACAGTGTAATATATTTATTTTTATTTTTTGGAGAATGATTTTCCTTTTTTGGTGAAAATTGTCTGTAGAAGTTTAAAATTGCAATACAGTAAATAGTAGTGATTGTGTATCACTGCAAATAATAACATTATAGATAAAACCGGGCACTCATTATGAAGGAATATATTTTCAACAGTGTTTTAATGAAGTCTGGTATTCCTTACTAATTGTTGCATCTAAATCAACACAAATAGTCTCTAAGTTAGAGCAATAAAAATATGCTGTTCTATGATGTTCTGTGATGTTTTCTGTGTTTGCACAAGGGGATAAGTTTCCAAAGATACTTGGACTTATTAATGCCTAAGTTGAAAAATATTAACTTGCTTGAAAGCAAGTTTCATCAGCACATGGTCAAAATAGAGTGCTTTTGTGATGTCTCACAGAAGACAAGCAAAGTAACAAAAAAGAAGAGAGAATGGATGTTTCCATCATTCCATGATGAGGATACTTATAATTATGATAACTGGCAGTTGGTAGTGATGTTTCTTAAACAGGCAGAGAAATGCTGTTCAACAAACAGATTTCCTAGAGTCTTGAGGAGAGGTTTGATGTGTCTTTCCTCTTTCAATATTCAATTTACAAGATCATTCAGAGACTGCCCTTAACATTTTGCTAATGTAAGATGTTCTTTTTTTGCATTATCAGTATGTATGTAATCTACTCAATTGAATTTTTGCTCATAGTTTTATGTTGTCATTTATGCATCTATGGCATAAGAACAGCCTGATCTGTATTGACTCGTCCTGACAGAATTCTTTTCTGTTCCTGTGGAAATGTGGAGGTGATTATTCAGTGAAAGGTTTGTGGAGTGTTTATTGTTTGTTCTTTCCATTACAGCAGAGGATAACCTGTTAGGTTGGTTCTGCATAGAAGATGATGGGAATCAAATCAAAAAGGAAAAGCATCCTCTCCTTGTTAGACACATGCCAGTGATGATGGCCAAACAACAGGAGTTTAAGGTGAATGGAATTTTGATATAAGATTACAATTAGGTTTTCTTGTATGATATAATTTCTAAAGAATACCATATTGTAAATACATCTATTAGTTCACATCTGCTAGTTCTCTTGAGCATCTACCTTGGTTTAAGACCATTAGCAATTAAAGGTCCAGAAGAACCACGGGAACACAAAATGCAATTATTGGCCTCAGCCCTGGGCTAACTTTGCCAGTTTTGCAGCTCCTAAAGTAATGCAGGTGTGAGCCCAGATGTCATTCCTGGTTCTCCCAAATCCTTGATATTACTAGAAAATATTACTTAAGTATTACTGCAGCTCAGCTGCAGTTTGGCTCTCAGGCCCCAGCTCAGGGTAGGAAGAGAACCTCTGCTTGGCTAATCCTGTTTGTTGGATCTCTGTGTGCTGCTCAGGCTGCCCAGTGGTGTAGGGAGCCATCAGAGCAGGTTTACATCCCAGGCTTCTGTCAAGACTGAGAGCTAAACTACCAGGGTAAACTATGGAGAAAACATCACTTTTGACTAAGATGCAAAGTGACTCAAGGTGTAACGAGCCTGGGAAATATCCAACATGCAGTCTCATTTTTCACCGGTGATTTATTTAATTGTCACAGCTACTGTAAATTAGTACAAGTAAATAGCTTCAGCATCTGTTAAATGAGACATGTTAAGACAGGCACAGAAGCTCTTTTTTCTTTCTCTTTTTTTCATCTATTGATTTCAAATGTTTATCTGTATATAGTGAATTGCTTTGCTAAATAGATAATGTTTTTTCTACTAAGGCAAATCACTTAGTAATGCCTGCTGACTTCAAAAAGAGACTGTAAAATTCTTTGCACTTCAGAAAATTAAGTGAACTTGGAATTTAGAACTCTTAACTTTTGCTGACTTGTTTTGTGGTGGGTTTTGGTTTTTGTTTTGGGTTTTGGGGTTTATTTTGTTTTTATTTTGATCTTTGTTTTGGTTTGTTTTTTTTTTTACTGTTGGGAGGTGATGTTGCTAGGCTATGGGGAGTTAATACTAACTGAGTAGTCTAAGTTAATACTTACTGAGTTTTTGCTAGTCCTACAATATAATCACAAGGACGTTGGTGTCCAAAATGAGAGCATTCGTTTGAATTCTAGAGAATCTTGTGTAAAAATATAGTATGACACCTCATTAGAAACCTTTCTATTCTCTACACAGTTATGAATTGCTTCTATATATTCTGAAGTGTTTACATAAGCGTTAGGAAAGTGCCATGGATATTAGGGAAATTAGAAATCCATGACTGGTCATAAAAACGTTTTTTTTTCAGATCCTTGATGCTTAATTCATCTTCGGAGTTGGGATGGACTTTAAATAAAGATCTTGAGTCTGGTGTTGCTTTCAGGTTTTTTTTAATAGCCTGCATGATAAAACCATGAATATTGCTATTAATATACTGACAGTAATATGATGACATGAGATTGGAAGGGAGTTTAAGTCTGAAGGATAATAGCAGTAGCATTCAAAATGACCAAGGCACCTGGAGAAATAATTTGCAGGGGGAAAGAAAAATAAAAAGGATGACAGTCAGCAGGACAGACACATGGTATGCTCAGGGAGAAATTAGGAGTTTCATAAATGCAGATTGAAGAGATGGTTTAGTTGGTTTGTTAAAGTAATTTTTAATAGACCAGCAAGGTAAGGATTGGTTAGGAATGCAATATTGTTACAAGGAGCAGTAAAAAATGAGATGTGTAGAAACAGGCTTCTGAAGAGGTGACCATGGTGTAGTGCTGCTACTAGCTCTGCTAGAATAATGTGTTGAGGTGAGAAAACTCTGCACTCTCAAAGATACACATGAGGCTGATACATGTGCTGAAGGGATGTCAGTTGAAAAAGTGGCAATAATAAGTTTAAAAACAAAAATTTGAAAAAGCAATTGTTTAAAAAAAATTATATGTAATTAAGTAATAATGTTAATTTATCCTAATGAAGAGGTGTCTCAGGCAGGGTCATGACATATATCAGCCTTACATGTAAAAGGACACTGCAAAGAAAGAGAAGTAAGTACCTGGTGTCTGAGATGAGAGGTACAGGCTAATGATTACATCAGGGATGGTGTCAGTTTGGGGACATGAAAAAGCTTAATAAAAGTCATTAAGCATTTGAGCAGATCAGCAAAAGAGAATTTGTAGTCTTTGGCAGTGAAGGTCTGTAGGGTAGATAAGGAATTTGTCAGGAACAGTATCTGTGCCACTGACCCTGCTCAGGGGAAGCTGGGTGAACTAAACTGACTTCTTGGCTTACGAGATTCTTTGATATCCTTAAATGCTTTAGCTAATTACAAACTAAAATAGACAGAAATAGGCATATTTTGTTTAAGTGCTAACAGCTCTTTTTTACTCTCTTTGAAGATTGAATGTGCTGCTTATAATCCTGAGCCATATCTTTCTGGAGAAACAGAGTCAGATTCCTGTGCTGTGGAACATGGTTTTCTTTGGGTAAGTGCAATCTTTACGCAAAGTAAAATCTGAAAGTTGTTGTCTCCTGTTTCTTTCCACTGCTTTTTGTGGCTCAACAATATGTAGGTATGAAAGAAATGTTGGGTTGTTTTTTCTCTTTGTTTATTTGTTTAAAAAGAAAATATTAGCTACTAATTTGTCCGTGTGGTCTTGCTGGTCTCTGTAGGGTGTCAGTTAAGTGTGTGTAATTTGTTCAGCACAGAATGAATTCCAAAGTGCTGAGCACATTCAGAAGGGAGTTATGTGCTAATTTTTAACAATTGCTGCTAAAAACCAGTGTGAGCTTACACTGTTTTCATACTTCAATAATTTTTAGCCAAAAATAATCTGTTTAAATCTACATAGGGAAAAAAACTTACTCTACATATTGCTGTGACCCCAGATATGCAGATATTCCAGCAAAAAAAAAAATATGAGGTGGATAGAAGCTGTTCTTAAAAAAAAAAAATGGCAAGCTAATTATTTCAGGAGATTTTCTAATTACTACAATACTGAAAGTTTAAGGGAGCCCTTGCAAATTAAAAGTTAGAAACAGCTTTTCTTAGTGGTGGCTTTCAAGGCAACCCATAAAATTTCCTTTTGTCTTTGCCATTTGTAAACAGTAGTTGCAAAAACATGCAAATGAAATCTTTCTGCTGCTACAGAATAGTCTTTCTCTTTCCTATTTTATTTTGTATAAACAGAAAGAGTTACTATACAAAAACATGTACTGTGCTTGGGTACATTTTTTTTACTTCTCCCTGATCTGTAAAATGTGCAAGTTTTTGGACATATTTATGATACTTAGTTCTGGATCAGGGAGAAATTTGGGTTCCTGTATCAACAAGTTTACAAGACTCTTTCTTTTTGGACGGAGCATTTCTTTGTAGACCTGTTACTGTGCAAAGGACAGGCCTCAGCCATATTACCTGTTTTAAAAGAATCTGAGACAATTAGAACACTAGTTATTAAAATAGCATGTTGCACAGATACTTACAGTAATTACATTATATAATGTATACACATTTGAGTCAGATATCAGACTAGGCCATAATATTATTCCTGCTCTAAAAACACAGTATTTTTTTTTTGAGTGTAGAAGGCAAGATTGAATGTATAAGGTTTTTATATATCTTCTATTTGTGCTGAATTACTCTTATGTCTTAATGCATGAAAATTCATATTGGCACATATAACTTGAGATGCACTCTTCAGTTAACATTCCAATCATTCCTTCTTGTACATGTTGATCTTCCTGGATACAGGCATCAGTCATGGTTTGTTGTGGTTTTTTTTAATTTTCCCTTTTTCATTTCAGATTGGCAGTTGTACTAATCAGATGGGCCAGATTGCAATAGTCTCGTTTCAAAGCTCCAGCCCCAAGGTTATTGAGTGCTTCAATGTGGAATCACGGATTCTCTGCATGGTGTACATACCAGAGGAGGAGAAGCTGAAAGAGCTAAACAAAGCTCCAGACTCTGAAAGTGTTCTTACAAAAACGTGTAATGTGCCTACTATTTGCCTTGGCATGGAAGAAGGAAGGTGATTCTTGGTTTTGGTGTAATGTGTATGATTTACTGATTAAGTTTGCTATTCTATAGCAAAACTGTGTGAGATATTTCCAAGAAAATGTTTCCTTTTTAAAAAAGTATACAATCGTTATCCTAGTGATCTCAAGGTATCATTTATACTTAAATCAAGGGTAAAATTCACTCTACATTATTTAAAATGACACTGTGTGGTATTTGAAATTAAAACAGGGCATCTTTTTGATGAAAGAGGATTAGTTTATTGTATCTGAAAAATATAAATACTACATTTGTAACATTACAAGGTAATCTTCAGGTATTAGACAATTTTCAGAATGGCAAAAAGAAATCCATTTATCTGCCGTGTCATGTTATGCAGGATTTGTCACATGAAAAAAAAAATATTGCTATTTACTATTGACATGAATTACTTTGCTGTCTTTGAACTGATGGCCTACTGAGCCATCCCTTGATTTGTGTTGAAGAACAAGGCTACATATTCTAAACTTAGAGGTCAGTTGGCAAAGAGATCTTGTTACAGTTAGGGAGGTCATAGGTGTGTAACTACATGTGATTTTTGAAGGTGTTTGTAACCAGTATAAATGCAGGAAAACAAAATTTTCCAAGGAAAATGCCATTTCTAGAAATCAGTGATTTAATTCCATATTTAACAATATTCTTACCATACCCATTGTAAAAATCAATAGGAATTGTGGAAATTTTAAGTGCAAGTGATGTCCGGTAGTGAGGTTTTTTTTTTATTTTCCCTACTTCTCCACATAAAATAATTTATTTTTAACTAATTAAAGTTTTAGGTAGACTCATCATAAGGACTTGAAGCAGAATTTTTATTATGTCTCTTTTTTGATTAAGTGTTTCTGCAGACAAGATAATATGAATGTGTTGTCATATGTCAATGTTCAGTAATTGCAAGTTGTCTATGCAGACATTCTGGGGTGTCAAGAATTGAAGGAGAAAATCCTCTTTTCCTCAATATTTTATTTTAAAATTCTCTTTTGCATATTCTAGCAAGAACTACGTAAAGTATGATTTCACAGGTCTGTTTCTTCTTGCTTCTTTCTGTAGCATTTCTATTTACAAAAGTTGCCAAGGCTCAAAGAAGATTCGGCTTCAACACTTCTTCACTCCTGAAAAATCAACTGTTATGAGCTTAACATATAGGTCACAGTACTTGTTTGCTGGCTTGGTAAATGGAAACATTTCAATCTACACAAAAGCAGAAGGTAATGCTGAATAGTGATATGATTTCATGGCATCCTGAGGAACTCACATGTCAGTGTATTTTGGCAGAAACAATTTTCCACTAATGTATTTTCTGAAAATTCTTTGTAAAACTGCTGAACTAGGATTACTACTCTTTCCGGTATGTCTGAAGAGACTTGTTGTCTCTTTTTGAAGGATAGTAGGAACTTTGATACTGTTCCCACTTTCACCATACATGCATATGACAATTGATTTTCCCCCTTAAACCCTAAAGTCTTCAGTGTTGCAAGAATCCAGAAATGTATGTGCTAACAGCATTACACATTATTACACAGTATTTTACACAGCACAGTGCTTTTTTCTCTCAACTATCAAGTATTGGTGAGTATGAAACACAGAAATGCCCTATTGGTAGAGATTTCTTTATTTTTCATTTAAAATGACAGCCCCATTTTTACTGTACAGCTGGAATGTCGTTCCTATGTGTGTAGTTCATGTATTTTATAGCAGGCCTCCTTTTTTTATTAGTATCACAGTTGGTTGTTTTGTATCTAGCTAAATAATTGGCTGAAATAATTTGAATAAAGGAGAATCCCAGGCAATTTTTCTGAACCAAAACTGTCTTCCAGAGCTGGTTCAGGTGCTTTCAGTACATCTCACTAACTTCCCTGCAGTATTGTATATATATCTAGTGTTTCAATACAAAATCAGTGAGGCTTTGCTCAAGGTTTGAAACCTTAACGTTTTAAGTGAAATGTTAGCACAGAGACTCCTAACCTGGTGAAGTACAGAGGCTGCAGAGATCTGCCTTGCTTGTGAGCTGCAGTAATGATGGTTGTCATGCTTCTCTAATGAGGTGGGCCCTGTGAACAGTTCAGCTGAATTTGTGTGGCACTGTACGTTGGCTACTAAATCCTACCAGTATCTGAGGAACCAAATTCAGTATCTGTAGTTTTGGGACAAATTATACATCCACTCTTAGAGCACAGAATTTGTTTGGGAAAGCTAGAGGATGTTTGGTTTTTTTTCCTCAAGCAGCAAAGATCTGGGTAAAAAGTGATGGCAAAGAGACTTCCCTTGTCCAATTGTCTTCAACCCAGTATGTTTCCTGTTAAGCTGCTGTCTCTCATCCGAAGCCAAACATTAGATCTTAGTTCCCTTTAAAGCTTTTTTTTTTTTTTTTTTTTTTTTTTGCTTTTGAGGCACAGGAGAGAGGTCTTGATCCTAGATTAATAATATTTTTGGTATTTCAGTTTCTCTACATACCTGGAGGGATATTAAAGTGAATCTGTCATCTTCTCTGAAAGGTGCTGGCGTATTTAATCTAAGATTGCAATTACTATCACTCACCTTCTTCCAGAAAAGACCACTTAAAAAACACAACTGACAGCTATCCTTGGCAGTATAGCTAAGAAAGGATTAATGGGTTGCATATCTACAGAGAATGTTAAAGATGGGGCAGAGCTGTTAACCAGACTGCATTAGTCTGGTTATGAGATGGAGGTTATTGCATTGACCAGGATCCTAGCATGCCCTGTTTGTCTTCTTCTGAAGACACTGGTTTTGGGCAGTGAGATGTTCCTGGAGCCTGTCAAAGTCTGAGTCATGGTCATTGGAACTTTGAGAAGGGAAATAATGATATTTCTCTGACTTCTGTCAGTTAATCTTGTAGTCCCTCTCCTTACTGCTTGCTTGGTGTGGCTTATTATAGTTCTCCATGCCCCATGGAAGTTGTGTGATTCAGCTGCTGCCATGTTAGTGTCCATCTTCCTTATGTTGGCTGCTGTGGTTATGTGAGGCATTCAGCCCTGGAGGGGTGTTTTTATGAGCCTGACCTATTTACCAAACAAAGGAATCCAAGCAGTGGAATGTGAGGGAGGGGGAATGCAACCTCTGAGGAGCTTTGTGCAATTCATCAGGGTTGCCTTCTGTTCTGCAGAGGAGGTTGCTTTTCAGCCACTTCAGCTTGGGTTTTGGTCTATCATCATAACGGAGATTAGGTTAAGATTTAAAAGTGAATGTGAAATATATCCCTGCATTACATCTTGGTTTGAAGCCTGAGAAGGACAAATACTGTGAGATGCATAGGAAAAATGGTTGTTACAGGATTCCATGTATGAGAAAGGATTATCTTTCTTCTAGGATGAAAATCTATCTCACAGTCTGTTGTAGAGTTGGGGTCCTTTTGTCTTCCTCCCTGGGCAGAAACTATGTGGATCAGTTCAGTCACTGAAGCTCGATGGCTTACTCTATGCAGTCAGAGACTTGTGATTTGTATAATTTGGTTTGCAGGACCCAAATAGCTCTAATTTCTCCAGTTGTTCTCAGAGGGGTCAGTGCATATAAATATCCATGATATTTGTTTACGAACATCTGACTTTCTTCACTAGAGAACTATGTCAGATCTACAGCATCCAGAGTGTTCTGGCTGCAGAAAATCTTGTTTTGAAGCAGTAAAAAAATGGAAACTGAGAAGTCTTACAGTAAACCAAAGAGCAAACGCCATGTCAGTGAGAGAGTAGGAGGTGCACAACTTCCTTTCTGGAGGGTGGGCATATTTTAGTGAGACACCTCATGTACTTTCACATATGACGTAAAATGTACTTAAGTACTTTTCAGTATTTTATGTATTTTTAGGTACTTAAAAATGCATATCTTAATGTATTTGAACACAAGCTGAAAGCAAAGTCTTGAAAAAGTAATAAAATCTACTTGGCTCTTAAATGTGAGCTAACATGATTTGTGAAAATATCACAGAACACCAGGGTGCAGGTCAGCTAATATGTTAATTGTAAAAACAGTACCCCTGATAATTATCCTCACTAATCCTTAATTTTATGTGTGTGAGAAGACTTGTTTTGGGAACTGTGAGACAGCTAGTGAATTAAATGCTATTCTGTATAGGAAGGGGAGTGATGCGGATAGCAAAATTTCTCTTTTGCACAGTTATCAGTCTGAAAAATTCTGCCATTAGGGTTTGCCTCAGGCTGAGTTAATATTTCCATGCAAAACATGCTTAGAAGAGGTTAATGGAAAAGTGTTTTGTATTGTCTTTGTTTAAAAAACATAACAAAACCCCTTTGTGATGATTGCAGACAGACCAGCAGATGTGTTTTCTGAGTGATGTAATAGCAAAAAAGGTCAGCACATGTTTGACTTCCATTCAGAAAAGCAGGAAAGGGAAATCACAATCTTTATGTAATATAGGTGTATTGTTCCTGATATACTGTAGTCAGTTCCAGCTTCCTTTCTTCTAGACATTGATATACATTTCCTTTTCATAAAGTCCTGTAAAGAGTACAGGAAAGAAACGGGAAAAAGAAAATACAAACTCAGAATTATTGTGGCAGAAAGTAGAAGAATTAATATTTTAAACCAAACTGGAGTTTGGTTTGGTGAAATAATAGCTGGGGCAATTTTGGCCATGCACAGAACAGAAGAGACTTCACTGCTGAGAACTTAGGGAGCTCTGAAGTTGGTCAGAAATTTTGATGACTTACCTGTCCAAAGAGCCTTTGTGACACTAATCATAGGAGCATTTTGAGAGGATTAATATTGAGGAAAATGACAAAAACTGAGAGGAAATACAAGAGTAAGGGAAACAGTTATACCAGGAGTAGCATGTTAGTTGACTGGTGAGGTACCTTGATGGATTTGGTAAGACCCTTGTGTTCTCTGACACATTGAGGAAAGGAAGAATATGTGGAACAGAAAACACTGATGTCAATGTCAGAGCTTGAGTGGATCCATGTATTGTTCTAGCTTGTCTGAAGAGCATGCGATTGCCACTTTAGGTAGATGTTATGAGAGGTATTGCTATGAAAAATAAGCAGTGGTATTAAGCTGTTAAGAAGAAGACTAGAGCAGTGATACTGAAACAGAAATAAAATACTGTTGTCTTTGCATTGTCACATAGTACTCATCAACAGAAATATGTTGACAGTGCTTTCAGTCTTATTTGTGTATCTCATGCCAGGACCTCAGCACCACCCCCTGTATAACAGTAGGAAGACCTCTGTCAGCTATTTAGCTTGAAGAATTTGATGCATGTTGGAGAAAAATTGAGTGTGCATACATACTATAGGACATTCCTAGTTACACATTGTTTAAAAGAGCAGGCCTGAGTGTCTCATCTTATTTCCAAGTGATAAGGAATGTGCTAAACTTTTGACTTCTGTAGGTACCATTTTACTCCTCCACAGTGCTGGATTATGTACCATGTGATGGAAAAAATGTTTTTGCTCCACTGCACTAATTAACCAAGAACTGCTGTTCCCAGGGCTGTGTTGGCAGCTCTGCTGAAATCATCAATAGTGCTGCTAAGCAAGAGAGGAAGCTGTCAACAAAAACACTTGCTCAGTTCAGCTAGACTGAAAGAATAAAAGAAGGGAAGACTATTACAAACTTTGAAAAGACTTTCTGAGGAAATAAACTATATGTTAATAGGTTATCTCATATGAAGACCTGAGTGCATCAACTAACTACAATTTTTAAAATTACTAAATATTTTAAATATTTATAAATTAATAATTGGAAGCCTATTCTTATAAATTTTTGTAAAATAATTTTACTTTTCCTCATTGAGTTTTGTGGAAACAAACCATAGAAGGATAATATAAACATTGGTTTAAAACTTTTCTTATAAAATGGACATTGTTTTAAAACTTCTTTTATTCACTCAAGTTTAATCAAATAGGAAGGTAACTAATTTTTTAAATTCATAAAAATCACAAGACAAATAACAAAATTCACCAATGGAAATAATGTCCTTTTACATTGAAGTCTCATTTTATAAGCATGAAAGACCTTACTTTGATGCAGCTAAATGATATATGCATTGCAAGATACTGTCCAACACTGGTATATAAACTAGAGCATGTAACTTCTAGAGAAATATAAGTTACAAAGAGGATTAAAAATATTGGAATAACACAGTGACATAACAGATCTATTAGTATAATATCGGTCTTCTATTTTTTTAAATACTTACCTACATCCAAATATCAAACATCTTATATACAACATCTTTTATACAACATAAATATATGATTCATAAAAATATTAATAGATCCGGAAGCCCCTGGATTTTTTTCTATCTTTGACCCTGTTCTCAGATTTTGTAGACACATCTCTTTCCTACAAACATCTGTACCTGCAACTCACATCCTCATGAGATATGCCTTGAGATTCTGTTGGGAAAAGTTTTACCTTGGCTTCCATTTCTTCCTTATTTTCTCTTTTGCCAGGAAAAAAAAAAAAATATTTTAGTCAGCAACTAGCAAAGAATTTTATAGCATCAAACAAAGCTATTCCTTATCTTCTTTGCAAGTGCTGTGACTAATTTTAAATACCTGGGTAGTGTCAGTTGTTGAAACTGACTTACTTAGATAAGCATGTCTTGAACCTGCAGGTATTTACACAAGTTGGATAAGGATAATGCTTCTTTTCCCTTAGATTTTAGAAGGAATAAGCATTGGCTCAGACAGATAACATGAAACAGCCAGTGTCAAACATGAAGTTGGTGCAGGTATTGAACAGGGTCTGCTGATATCTGGAGAGAGAAGCAGGAAGAGTATCATGTTTTCTTCAAAGCGTGATTTTGATAGTGTTAAACAACTTGTGAGCTAGACACAGACTTGCTAATTAATTTTGGAGAAGGTGATAAAATTCTTGGTCAGCAAAATGAAGTCATGATCTTACTCTTAGCCAGCTTGTGGTTAAAGCATTTACAGTAGTATGTTGGATTATCAGGCTTAATCCCTTGCCTTGCTTGAGTGGATTTTTACCCATGCTTTCCATGCTCTCAAGAGATTTCCCTGGCCACAAAATGAAAGGAGAGAGATGCACAGGGCTTCATTTGTCCTCCTGGTGCCATTCCACTTTGTATAATTAATGAGTCATTCATTGAGGCAGGGTCCAGAACACAGCTGACACATCCTTTGAATGCTGTTCTAATTACTAGACTGGAGAGTGTTCCCCTACCCTTTTTTCCCCTCATCTGTCTCAGATGCGGTCTGATCTAGAAGACATCAGTGTTTGCAAGAGGAAATAAAAAAGCACCAGAGAAATAAGAGCCTTATCACATGACTAGGGTCATAAGATAGAGTGATGGTTTTGGATTTTTCCTGGCCTGGTGCATCAAGTGAGATTTCAGGGGATTTTTTCAAGATATTGTGATAACACGAAAGACGTGAGAATTCTATCTCACCTTCTTCATATATATATATATATATATATATATATATATATATATATATATATAATCCTACAAAACTCTTAAACTGGATTGTTAAGTACTGTGTTAACACACACACCAACAGAAAATGGTTTTGTGAGAGGTGAGTTTTTTTAGACATACATGTTGAATCAGATATTCATTACTCAGGTGGTATTTATAACATTGATAGTATCGAAATCACCTTCTTACATTGATCAAAATTATAAATTTTGCTTAATGCTTAGTCATCTGAAGAGTTACATAGAACTTCAAAACATACAGGTCCAGATTTAAAACAAAAGAAACACATTAGATATTTGAAATTTAGTTTAAGCAAAATGTAAATGAGTCCACAGTCGAGATCCTGAAAATCCTTATTTTCCTGTTGTTTCAGTATCAGCTATGCTTTATATATAAATTAATGTATAGCTTGAATGTATTTAAGAGATAGACTTGTCAAGTTCTGTGAAATTTTGTTTTATATTAATAGTTTTTTCAGTGTGAAAATGCAACTAGAAAAGATAGCTTTTTGCTCAGCATATCTGCTCCTTGCCCAAACTCATGGTCCTTATCCTTCAGAAAAGACAGAATTATGCTGGGTTTATCCCTGAGAATAGTGCTGTGTACAGATTGTTATTAAAATTCTGCAGTCAGCATCCCTTGCACAGTGAAAATTGTGACACGCACGCATGCAGCTTCACTCTGTAAAGGGTCTGCAGCGCCTACAGTGGTTACAGCAATCAGAGTATGGGCAGCATCCAATTTATAATTTAATTTATGGGTAATGTGGTTGCTGAAGAATGAAAACTTTTCCAGAAGTTTGTTTATTACTAATAATACATATGAGTCATAGAGAACACAGAGTGACTCTGACATTACTGGGAAAGTTTGCAGGCTAATGACTGGAAGCACTCCTCTCAATGCAAACTAAAATAATGAAAATTATTTTGACAGCCTGAAACTAAATGTCACATCTACAAAGATTCTTTCAGAAGAGAGCCACATCCTGAGAATGACTCAGCAAAGGTTGTATCACATAGATGAAAGAAATTTTGAGAAGTACTCCAGACCTGAGGCTTCTCATTATTGTTGTTGCTACTGTGATTGAAGAAGCAGGAAATTTCATGACCCCATTCCCTAAGCAAATAATAGAAGATGCACTTGTTTTCAGGAGGGAAAAGAAAAAATTGTACTTAAGTGCTTGCCTAAAGATGTGTTTACTTTGGTCTCATCAATCAAAATTTAGGTGGTTACTGAGTTGAAACCAATGTTAGAAAAGTGGACAACTTTTCTGCAGCTTGTGCAGGAAGAAGGCTTTGCAATGAAGAAATGGTGCTTTTTAAAATATTTTATCTTGGTGTAAAACCCAGTTACTTTTAACAGATTTTTATACTATTAATAAATCATAATGTATAGAAATGTCACCATTGAGACTATATTCAGTGAGCACTTTCAATATATAAACTAACATAAAAACATTAAAATTATTATTGATGTACTTAACATGCCAATTTGTATGTATAAAAGAGAAAGTCACAACTGTTTCAAAAACCTATGTTGCTGGTTCTTAAATTTGGGGATAAATAATCTGCTAGTCCTTGTTTCAAAGAGATGGCAATTGAGAGTGACCACAGCAGTGGGTGGAAGTATGCGGTTCTTGCTGTTGGAACTCAAAATGTCTCTCAGACATTTTTTGGAGGTTCCAGGCCTTGGTCAGAAGCATTTTAGACCCTGGCAGGCAGCTGGAAACAGCTGTGATTTTGAGTTTGAGCCATGGAAGGAGTTACCAACTTTGGAGGTGGAACAAGCAGTCACAAAAGGTTAGATAATATAGTAAAAGTAGTTACAAAACAGAGGGGAAATTTTTTTAGTATTGTGCAGAGGGGTTTTAGCACATGTACAGGGGGGTTTTTAGTTTGTACATGGGGGTCAGAAGTTGTAAGATGGAGGAAAGTGGGCTGATCCTGTTCTTCCTCCTTCTTCTTCCTTGCCTCCATGTTCTTGGTGATGTTGGCATTCACAGATTGGTTTAGAGTAGAAAAGCACTTTGTAATATAGGTAGTAGGTATTGGGGGGAAACTATAAACATGTTATACGTAATATAACATATAAAAGATAGCAGCAGCCCTGGGCGGGGGAGAGAAGAAGCAGACAGCAGACAGAGAGGATGTCAGGGTGTGTGTGTGCCTCTGCCCGGGCTGCTGACCAAGCAGCCGCAGCCCGAGAAGACAATCTTTTAGATAACTCACAATAAACTGCCTTGAGACTGAGCAGCAAAAGCCTGCAGAGCTTTTCTTTGGAAGTGCGGGTTGGAGGAGAAATTTTACCACCACATGAGACCCCAGAGCAAGCCTGGGGTTCTCACATCTTATCAGAACCTCTCTGAATAACTGATTGTACCACGTACACATGCATAATTTAATTTAGATCTGCAAAGAAAACACTGTGGGTTTTATAATTACAGGAAAAAGTAAGAAAAGTGAAGATATGGCACAAGACCAAGTTTTAATTTCTTCTTTTTTTTTTCTTTTAATTTCCATCTTAATTGAAGCATCTAGTAGCAGGAAGGTCCATTTCATTAAAATGCTCTTAGAGAGTGATCTGCACTCATTAGAGCCTACAGTAAAAATCTTCCTGACAACTTTGTACATGAAGGATGATTCTGTCCTAGTTAGAAATTGATTCATCTTGAAATGAGTTGGCTGTGAGTTCCTTCTGAGTTGGGGACAATTGTGTCAGCCATGTATTTCTGGCTGTATTTCCTCTGGAAAGGAAAGCAGTTGTATCAGCAATGTGGTATTCCTGAATTGTCATTTAATCTAGATAAAATTTACTCTGTTAACAGTTATATGAGTGCTTAAGTTTGAGTTTTCTCCTTAATGTTGTTTTTTAGCCTTACGAATTTACCCTGGAAGCTAAAAGGAACCATACACAAATCACCATGTAGCTGGAAGTGGCAAATTGCAGAAAAAGCAGTGGACTTTTCAGAATTGTTTTAAAGCAAAGATCACCATTTGGTTGTGTATAACCTTTCTTCTCTTTTTATTGAAGATGGGACATGGAACACAGAACCTCAGAAGATAGTTAAACTGGGGGTTCTGCCTGTTAGAAGTCTGCTTGTGATGGAGGAGACCATTTGGGCTGCATGTGGTGGACAAATTTTTATAATCAGCACTGTGACACATTCCATACAGGTAAGTGCTTTTAAAAGCATTGCTCACCTATTACGTTTCAGAGTATAAATGGTGAAATTTTAAAGATGAAAATGTGTTTAAGAAGCATCATGACTGGGAGCTTTTTATTGAATGTGGTCTCAGTTCTTTTAAATCTCACTCTCTTAGTTTGTAATTCTGCTCTTGTGTTCTCTGCTGATGTCTCATCAAACCTTGCTGCCATTTACCCACTGGTTTCTGTAAGGTGCTTGGAAATTATAGAGTATTTGGGGCAAGAGATTGTCTTAAAAATTAAATCTGACATAAGGCAGCAGAGAAGTAGGTGCCTATAGGATTTTTATGTTAATTACAGAAGAAGGCTTAACTAAGAGACTGCCTCTATATAGTTAGATGTTACTTGTACCTTGTGATAATTTCATAATACAATTTTTCAGAGTTTTGCTTCTTGGTGGCCTACAAAAATTTTATTTCCATAAGAGCAGTTTCTGATGAATAGTCACACAAAAGCTGGCTTTTTCAGAACGAGAGAAGAGTGTTCAAACTCACATTTCTGACCACATTTTCCAGAAAATGTTAAGCCCTTATTTCTGTCAAAATTACATCTTTAACCAAAAGAACATCTTAGTAGTCCAAAGTTAACAGTTGATGAAGCATCAAGAGTTCAACCTCTCCTTCAACCTACAATAGAGTGTTGCTGAATTGCATGATGTTTACAGCCGTGAAGCTTTTTCAACAGGAGTCATAATGAGCTCACAGCCTCCTTCTTTGTGTGCTTTGTTGCTGCATTTTTTTCTTTGATGATCATGTTTTCTCCCAACAATTGTCTATTTGGTACAATTGATTCTGTGAGTCACTGTCATGGGTTTGCAGAGAAATAACTAACATCCTAATTTCCTCTTTTTCTGTGTTTTCTGAGAGATTTGTTTCATCTAATAAGATGCTTGGTTTGTATATTCTCTTATTTTGCTTTTCTTTAAGGCTTGTTTTGTTAGTATTTTGAATGGTATGATTAGGGAAAGATTTTTGGATGATTGATCTGGATAGGTCCTTTGTTAGCTTCACAGCCTCTGGGACACATGGTTGCTATTCTACAGACTTTGGTAAAATCTCTCAGAAAACAGTAAGAAAATTTCTCTAGGAAAATAGTAAGAAATCACAGCCAGGTTGTTCCTGTGTGAAGCTGGATACGTAGAGCCAGGTCTCTGTAAATAGGTTTGGCAAGTCTGGCCTAATTCTGTAACAAAGCTCTCCCTAAATCTGGTGGTATGGCTGCAGTTTGGGCCATGCTGGGCTGTTTTGGCAGAGGAGAACAAACACAGAGTTAAACAAACTTTGAGGGTTAAAGAAAGTTTAAAGCTTATTCTGTCATAATACAGTAAAATGTCATGGACTGCAGTGTTGAAAACAGAAGTTTGGAGACATAAAATAGCAAGTACTCTACCAATATCTCTCAGACACAGCAGTTTCATTTTTCAGCTGTTACTACAGATTTTCCTACAAAAGCATCACAGGAGGTTTCTTCTCATTTCTCAACTAAGCCATCTGTTGTATTCAGAGCTCAGGTTATTATAGGTCTGTTGCACACACAATAAGTGCTGCAGCAAGCAACATATAAGAAATGGTGCATATGGGTTGAGTAATGTTTTTTCAATATCAATAATTTTGTTCAAGAACATGATGATTTTCTGTATGTCTGGCTGAGGGTCATCTTTTTAATTTCACACAAATATTCATGGCCTAGTGTGTCATCTTCCCCATAGAATTGTGAATGAGCAATGATTCTCTCTTGCTTCTTTATGGGTATTAAGGCATACTGATCTTTTTCTCATCATCTCACCAGACTAAACAGGTTACTGATGTTTTCAGTGTTGCTGCCTACTTGTTTTGATAACTTCCTAGGTTTGTGTTTCAAAAAGTGATCTGCTATGTTGTCCTTCCCAGGTTCACTGGCAATATTGTTTCAATATTATACAATGCATGAGGCAATTTAAACTCCCATGTATATCAAATATTTTAACATCTGAGCTGCCTCTTCCTTACGGTGAAGAGCTGAATCTTTGCTATAAGGGGAAGCAGCAGCAATGAAATGTTTGCTTTCCCTCTGTGCTCTCTCTTGTTGAAAGTTTGTTGTAATGATTTGACTCAAGATCTTTTGCATTAACATGATCTTTGCTGTATCAGCATGAATCCAGGTGTTGCACAGGGCTCACCTGTTTCTCTTCCCTCTTCACTGAACTCCTTTATATCTCCATATACTTAATGTGGAGATACTCCATGTATACTGCAATGCAGCTGATTGCTACTTCATTGCTACTGTCATGTATGCATACTATGTGCTCTGCATCAAGTACTTTATCTGTAAAGGCATCTGGCCTTTCTAAGGCCTTTAGATTTTAAGGCCATGTTTGTGCAAGTCCATGAGCATATTCAAGTCTATTTTTAAACTTGTCCTTGTGAGGCACTCTTTGCTTCACAGGTATCTCATATTTAACTGTGTGCATTTACTAAGTGCAAAGTATGTTATCCTTGAAATCAATCTCATTCCATGCCTCCTTGCTTTGCTAAGATTTTTATTTAAGATTTTTTCTTTCTTTAATAATTTTTAGTAAATGAGCAGGTTTGGTATTGTGTGTATTGGATTTGGATATTACTCACTGCTGCTTTTCTCCCCCATCTGATATGAGTAAGACTCTCAATTCACTTGTTCTAATGATATGTTACTGTAATAAAATATTTTAGTAATGACTTTTATTGGCACAATGCCCCAAACTGGCACAATGCCTCAAGATCCTTGGCAGGGCACACATGAAAAATGCATCAATTGCTGTTATATATTAATTACATACTCTGATCCTTTTTCTGTGAAGAAGAAATTTGTCACTTAGTTTTGACCCTAGATCTGACAGTTGTTTTGCTGTTGGTTACAGACCTACATCTGATAATGGTCTCTGGGCCTGGAGCTCTTTGTGCTCTGCAAAGGCAGTTTGTGCTTGTTTCAAAACTTCAAAAAGTGCCAGAGTATTTAACAGAATAAAGTCACTGGTTGAGTGCCACTCTATCCTAGTCTGTTTTGTCTTGTTTTTAAAACTTTGCTATCTATATAGGGGTTACACTGAAATGTTAAGCTGAGTAAACAAAAATATGGAAATTCCAACACATGCATGTGTGTTGCCCAAGTGTTGTAACTTCTTTAAAGCAGTGAAAGACATTTGTTTGATGTTGAAGGTAATGGCACCCATTATCCTCTTCATCTGAAGCTGAAGAAATTGTGGTTCATCTCTTGGTGCAGCTGTTTGGTGTAAGTGAGCACTCCCTCAAAAGAAAGGCTCTGCTGTGTCCCACACTGCTGGAACACTGGTGAGCTGCATTGGGCTGTGGCATCCACAGTGCCTTCTGCAGTTCCTGTGCTGCTGTAGTTAGAGTGGGAGAGCCTGAGGAGGAAAAGCCAGGCAAGAGGAATGTAGGTATGAATACTGAAAGAGAAAAAGAAAATTAATTTAATTCTTTTGATAACAAAAGGAATAAGACATCTTTGTTCCTTTGTATCTGTCTTTCTTGTAATCGAAAGGAAAGAAAATTAGAAGTAAAAGACCAGTTCACAGGTTTTCAGATAGATGTGTAATTGAAACATGTCCAAGATATCCTTTATGCATAAGAAGGTGCAGTTTTGGGATATGTTCTTGTTCCATGTTAGAAGACCCTTTCAATGAGAAGAATAGGTCTTTCTACAGGTCTTGTCATGTTTGCAGTATACAGTTTTACTTCAAGTGGGTCTTTGTGTTCCAGCAGACAGCTGTACAAATGGCAGGACCGACTTAAGTGGGAGTATTATGAGCTGGCTATTAAAACTGGAATGTGGCAAAAATGCATGTGTAAGTTGTTTTCAGTGGTACCAGCATAATTGTCAGCTGTGGTTGGATCACTCCAAAGAAAATTCTTTTTTTACAATCTTCTTCATTTTTCTTCTAATTTCAAAGAGTGTAAGTTTCTGGTCAGGTTTGCTTTAGCATCCATGGTCTATACACTAGAAGTTCTCAAAAGCAAATTAGTCACCAGTGTAGGGATGTATGAGTCTATAAACAAAGTAAATAGTTTAGAATCATCTTTGCAATGGAACATGCATGATGAGAATATCAGCAAATCTAGTCATAAGGACTGTTTTTGACTTTGAAAGGTGCTTTTTATAGATAAATTCTTCTGTTGAATAAATCTTATGATTTTCAAGTTGTGTATATAATTTGGCAATGAATGAATACTGGTTACTTGAAGAAAACAGTGAATATACATGTGCCTGCCAGCGTTGCTTACCTTAGGTTCTGCAGTGTTATTATTCAAAGAATCAAAAGGTAACACTCAATAACTGAACCACTGCCTGACAGCTGAAGAGAAAATTCTGTTCATTTACTAAAAACTGAACATTTGGGGAATAATATTAACAAATGAAAAACACAAGAAATAATTCCCATTATTGTTAAAAAGAAAATTTCTCAGTGAAAATAATATATGCAGTAATAAAGTATGAAAAACCCTAAATGCTTACTAAGCATAACACCAAAAGTTATTCTTTGTGGTAATCCTGAATTTTTATTCTTTTCTCTGATCTTAGCCTGTTAGTTGAATTTTGATGGAAAATTTGGACAATATATCTATAACCCTATTATATTTAGATTTTAATTTTAAAGAAAGCCAAAATGAAATTTAATTGTAACACCTGGAAAATTTAAGTATATTTCACAAGGAAACAGGAGGTACTTCTGCATTTTATCTACAAATGTAATAAAGAATATATAATACTTAAAGTGAATATTAGAGCACTTATTACTTCACACCCCTCAAAGAGAGATTTTTATCCAAGGAAAAGTTTGTCATATACTTAGCTAAGTAAAGTTTTGTATTTATCAGACTGGCTTTCTGGTAATAGCTGGCACAACAATAAAAGGCTATGTTCAACTTCACAGTCTTCTTACAAGACAAAACTGGGAGGAAAACAATCCCTCCTTCTCGTTAATGATTAAGAAACTTTACTACAGCTTTATCTGACATGTTAATAGAGACATACAGAGAGAGAGGTTTCTGCCTTACTGGAGCCAAGTTGTAACTGGAAAAAGGCCTGCCTTCAAAATGTTATGTGACTTGTATTTAGAAAGAGGATTTTGACTTTTATAATGAGAAGCATAAATTCGTTGAAGGACAGAAAAACAATATAGCTAATACTTGTGAAATCCAGAAGCATCAAAAACCAAACTACAATATTAAGGCTGACATAGTTATGTGTGTAATTGAGCAAATAATTGTGTGTTTATATTCTTAAACACTCTACTTTCTAAATATGACTTTTTATTACATTCTTGTTATTCTTGTTATGAAAAACCCCCAGCAGAACAAAAGAGAAATTTTTTTTTTATTTTTGAAATAGAAGTTCTTCTGTAGATAAAAGTACAGCTGCAGTAGTTTTCCCAAAGGAGTATAAATAAAGAAATATGAAATCCTTTGAAGTCTGAGCTGTTTTGGGCTTGCCAGCCCCTATCATTCAATATTTTTAAAAACCAGAAAATCTGAGTTACTCTGTTGTTAGGTGGAGCCCTGGCTCAAGAGCTGAGAATACTTCTATACTGATGATGATATCTTTCCAAAAAAAGTCCCAGGGAAATTAACACATCGCATACGGCTATCAGAACATATCCCGAGCAAGGCAGAGGAAGCTTTGTCCCTGTCAAAGAGGATGAAGATACGGTGCTTACACTGAAAAGTTGGTAAGAAAGGTTGAGTGATATCCTTGACTTGCATCTCCCCACAGAGCCCTTGTGTTTCTTGCAGAACCATTTTGAAGCCCATCAAGAGGAAGGGATGGTAATTTCTCACATGGCTGTGGCTGGAGTGGGAGTCTGGATTGCCTTCACATCTGGATCTACTCTTCGACTGTTCCACACAGAGACACTGAAACACCTCCAGGATGTTAACATTGCCACACCTGTTCACAATATGTTGCCAGGTAGTTGAATTGCATCATATGGTGATTTTTTTGTTTTATCACTGTTGTTCTCCAATGCTGTAGATTAGGCCAGAATCAGAAGGTTCATCTCAGACTTTGAGTCTGGTAGGTGTCTCCTGACTATTTGCTTTAGTAAGTCATAGTCCATCTCCTGCCCAGGTGAACAATGTGTGCAGTGAGCTGGTTGAGTAACAGCTCTTCTCCTTAGAGGTCATCAGTGTAATTAGATAAGCAGGTGGATTCTTCTCTTTGGTCGTATTTTTTGTGTGACTGTGAAACAGTTGTTAATGTAATCTGTAATGAAATTGTGTTTACTTTGCAGAGATTAGCATTTGCTTTTGGAACCATAGAATCAAGGGCATGATAAAATCATTTTGCCTGGGATCTGGACCAAAAAAACACTTGCTTACTTTTAGTTATATCAGTAGATCCAGTGAACTCTGAACCATTCACATGCTGCCATTTTGGAGTGTGTTCAATGTTTTGCTCACCAGAGCTCTAATTTGATGAATTGTATGATTTGTTTAAGATCTAACCTGTGGTTGTTAGAATAAAATTTTAAAAATTAAATTTTTTTACGTGTTTTAAGACAGAAGCTGTTCAATAGGCAGTTGAAATAGCTTATCAGTTTAGCAAGTGGATGACAAGGACCTCAGCATCAGCAAGCACATCAGGTGGGACCTGGGACTGTGCTGGGAGGACAGAGACAGAAAAGTGGTACTGGCATGGCTGAGCATGAGATATCCATGAGTGGACAACCATTCTTTCTGTCTCTCCCTGTTTGTAGACTGGAGTAGACCAAGCTTCTGCAGTTTTTATGGGCAGTGTGTGTGCCAGGTTTATTGCTTAGTTTTTCTAGCTGGAACCAGTTCTTCCCACACAGAGATTGCATTTATATTCTCACATGAGTTAGGTATAAATCTCACATCAAAAATGTTTCACTTTTTCAGTATCTCTCTTCTTACCATGTTTTCTTTCAGATGAAATTAACTTTACAATAAAAATCCATTAAAAATTTTGTCTGTTTGTCATGTTCTAGGCAGGGTGCTTTTTACATATGGTGTTTAGCCATAGCTCCAGCACTGAACAGCAGCAAATCACCTGCCTTTAAATAGATCATTTGATTGAATTCATCAAAACTGTGCAAAGAAATCAAGATCAGTTGTAAAAAGATTAATTTTTTAATCTATGTTCTGCTGTTCATAGCAGGGGGGAAAAGAGAAGTAAGACCTCCCTTATACATATTTTCTGAATGTAAAAATATTAAAAAATTTAGCTTTGTGTTCATTACCATGGCAATAAAACTGCTGATATAGCATACCATTATTTTTGTAAAAGAGTTTTAGCTAATTATAGCTCCTTGGTGTCATTCCTACCCATTTATTTCCTTTTTTTTCCCCTCAGTGTCTTCACAGAAAGCACACCAGTGAATGGAAATGGAAGTCTATTTTGGGAGTAGGACATTATTATAGCAAATGTTCAAAGGGAGACTCCTTTCTTAAAATGAACTGAATTTCAATTATTTAGCAGCAGCTCTCAGGCCTGCTTATATGATCTCAAAAATGCCGCAACAAAAAAAGCTAAAAGAGTAGTAGGAGGTTTACATAATAAAACAGTTTCAGAATAAAAAGGAGCTAAAGAATCAAATTCTGTATAGTATATATTAAGATAAAAAAAGGATAAAAAAACCAACAAAGTGAAACTGAATTACAACATGGCAAAATAGCTGTATATTTACAATATATGTATTTGCCTTCATGAGAGATTTTTATGATGTTTAGTTTTAAAGGAAATAGCTCTGTTAGCTTTCTGAAATTCAACAGAAGTTCCTTAATATGCAGAAATAACAGATAAGTAAAAATTCAAGTGGTGTTGAAATGAGAAAAGAAATTTGTGTAAAAATATTGCTAAGAGTCTTAAGAAGAGAGATATAAAAAGGCAAGATCTCTGTATAACTTTGAAGACGCTGGGCTTCTTTTCCCTGGATTTTAGAAGTAACAAGATGTATTACTGTCCTGATAGGCTACCTAGAGATGTCTTCACTTAAAAGTAATGTAAATAAGATGAATGTTGCTTCATTAATTTAATGAATTTTTTTTGTTGTTATATTGTACAAGTAAAAGAAAAATTTAATATCATTGTTAGGAATGATTACTGTGAGTTACAGTACTTAAAAGATAACTACAGTAACTAAGCAGAGTAGTAGGGTCTCATAACCTTAATAATGAGTTCTCATAGCAGTAAATTTCCTCAATTTTGTTCTTAAGAGAAGACAGTTTAAATATCACAGCGCTCTGTCTTCTAAAGGACAGAATCATAGGGGAGTGAAATGGCACAGAAGGCAATTGTCCTTATGATTTGGTGAAGTTTAGTAATGCAGAAAACCAGACTGAGTTTGGCAGATTCTTTTATCTGCTGGAGGTAATTTTAAATCTGGGTCCACTTCTGAGTATTGGAGATTGGAGGGCTCTCACTTTCTGGAGCTATGGAAAGTTTGTGTGTAGGAATGCAGGACTGGAAATGAAACCAATATCACAGAAGGGACTGTGGGATAGACATTTAGTCTAGACTGATCTGCACTACCTTTACTTCATATGTCATCCAAAATATTTCTTAATAATGTATAACAAGATTATGTTCTGTAACAAAAGACCAAATGCCGTGTGAGAAAGGAAGAGAATGGTTGAGAGAAAGAACATAATCATTGTTATAGATCCAGCTAACTCTTATTTCATTGTCTAGTTCACTGTGGATTCATAGTACAGCTGGATTCATTTCAAGGAGCCCAAGCACAACTCTGCTATCTTAACAGAGGGCATACTGAGTAGCAGAGAAATCTATTTACATTTGGAGACAAATAATCACACTTCGCTAGTGCAATATATGTCATTTGTAGAGCAAGTTTATGCTTAAATTTTGTGATCTGTATGTGAAGGGTGAAGAAAGTTAGTTTTTCACCAGCCTTTGTCACAGCTCACACCAAAAAAACCATGTACATGAATAGACATGTGTTTTTTCATAGTCACAGTCAGTATTCTATTAAAGAACATCCTTAAACATGTTTTTGCCCTCAGCTCTAAAAAAATTTGCCCTTTTAAAGAGACTACTGTAATTACAGTGACCTTGATACTTTATTGCTCATATGGATGATGATAGGTTACCTGTTTAACAAAGAGATGATTTCTGCTTAACTTGACATATTCTGTTTATATCCATATATCCTCTAATGGCATGTGTGTTCCTGGAAACAGATGGCAAAAGCAAAGGAAAAAAAGTGTAATTTCCTCTCTACAAAAAAATCAACTCTGCTCTGAGGCTTTACAGCTTGCTTTTTTCCTACCCCACCAGATGCCAGACCATGAAATGCAGTTGCTTTATGATTACTGTTGGGAAATGATAAAATGATGAGAAAACTTCAGGTCAGCCCAACAGGTCTGTACAGTGGGCTGGTTTTTTACATTGTAGGAGCAGCATGGCCATGTAAGAGGATATGGAGCAATGTACTTGCACCTAATTGGGGTTGAATTCGGATCTGTGAGGATTTATCCAGCTCTGGTGGTTGTTGTAATGGAGACCTGAGAAGGGTGAACACAGAGTAGACCATACACTTTATTATTGGCTTCAGTTCTTGTAAAGTCAGGATCTTGGTCAGATTATTTTACAGGTTTTAACAGTTTTTCCTCATTGGGATAATGTGATCTAAAAGTTGCTATTTAAAGATGAGTATTTTATTGCTTTTGGAATATGTTTATCATTCTCCCTTCTTGTTAATTTGTCTGCTTAATGTATAATACATTCTGGGGAATTGGATTGAATATTTCCCTCTGAATTTGAATTATATCAAAACAAAAGGTCAGAAAATAACAAAGATAAATATAACTAACAAATAAATTAATATTTTAAATCAGTATTTTTAAATCTATATATATATATAGTTGTTTTATATTATTTAAAGTATCTTCTCAGATGTCAATGTTTCCTGCTTTTTCAAGATTTCACAGCAAACACTTTTTGTTTTGAGCTCTGTAGCTTTTTCATGCTTTAGGTTGTGCTCAGTGTTTAAGAATTTAAGTTGCTGGCTGATAATTTGCTGGTTTTACGTATGGAAACAGTAACACGTATTTGCCAGGTAAAAATTATTGTCTAAAAGTTGTTTCAGGTTTGAAGTATGAAATCGTGAATATAATGTCATCTTTTAAATGCTTAAAAAGCATTAAAGTTCTAAAAATAGAAGCATCTTGATTCTGCAGGGGATTGAGAGGCAGCAGTGCACTTGAAGCTTTTGATAATATTAAAAGTTAAAAAATTGTACTCAAGTATTTGTGTAGTTTGTAGAATAAACTCTAAGTTAAGCTAAGCTTGTACCTTAGCTTGCACTTGCTGTGGTACAGGTGATAGGAGAAGACTCACATGTCATAAATAAATTGAGCAAGCCTGAGCTCTAAATCACAGAATTCAGATACTGATTTTTGGAAATTCCAGAACACAGAGGTATTTGGGCATTATTTTGGAACTTCTTTCGTGCTGAAGGAGTGCTATTGTGTGCTTTGTTTTGGAAACTAAATTAATCCCACTAATATGTCAAAAAAAGCCAAAACAAAACAAAACAAAAAAAAAACCTAACACCAAACTAAACTAAACAACAAACTCATTGAAAAGGCAAAAAATATTCAAAATATTTGTAATTTGTGTACAACATAGAATATCCTTGCTCATTTAGCTGAGCAGGGATGATGCGTCCTACCAGCATAAACATGTATAGCTCATGGAACTCAACGTAGTAGTGTCTGAATGTCTGCACAAGTAGATGGAGCCTTTTAAACTTATCCTTGTTACACCTGACCAGGATGACCCAATCATTGTGCCTTTGGGGTATTTTAGGATGTGCTTTTAGGTAGGCAGACCTTCGATTCCAGATCTGACCCTGTGTGAGTTTCTTAAAACACACCATTGCTGGGTTAATACTTGGTTTTGTAAAGTTCTGTGAGGGAAGACTTGTGGTCTGTCTCCTGTTTTCCAGTCAAGTGCTTTGGGTGACTGTCAAGCTGCTCCTTCCCTGATTTCCCAGTGAGTCTGTAATTCATATTCTTGGATGCAAATTAGCTCAGCTTCAAGGGACAAGACAGAAAATGCATTCATTTGTGAAACACCATAATTAAGATCCTTCTCCAAAGTGTTGAACATGAGGGTTTACTCACGTTAAATCAAACATGGAATTCAAATTCTCGACCTACTGATGAAATGATTCACAGTTTGAGAGCTATGATGAAGATGGAATGACTGCTCTCTTACATGTAGAGTTAATAACATATCCAAGAAAGTGTATGTTTTGAACCTGAAATTCTTCGAGCTTCAAGCAGAGTTTAAATGCTCCTCCCCATAGACTTGGGCAAAAGTTTGGGCAGATCATAGTTTCTGTTTCTGAAGCTTGCCAAGACCATTTTGAAAATCCATTTAAACAGAATCAAACATATTTTTAGTCAGCATTGCAAGCAAAAATTACTTTGTTTTCACTAGAAAAATAGCAATCCTGTAAATAGTGTTGTAGAAAAGCATAGAATTATAGAGTAAGTTTGATTTGAACTTACTCTGGAGGCAGTCTTGTTCATCCTTCATAAAGAAGGCCTAATTAGACCTGGTTGTTCAAGGTCTTGTTCAGCCAAATTTTTAACACTTCTGGATAGGATGGAGATCCCACCACCTCTCTGAGCAACCCATTGTTTTTGACCGCCTTTATAGTGATGCAGCTTTTCCCTGCATAGAATACAATTTTCCCATGCTCTAAATTTGAGCATGTTGTGCTTTATCATATCACTGTGCACATGTGGACAGTCTTGTCTGCTGTGCATCCTTCCATCAGGGTAGTTGCAGACAGTACTTCTTGAATACTCCAGTCCCCTGATCATCTTGGTCAGACTTCTTCCAATATGCCAATTCCATTCCTGTATGTGGGGACCCAAACTTAGGCAGGTGGACACAGCACTTCTGATAGAGTTTCACAGATTAAAAACTAGGAGAAAAAAGTAATCATGAGCAGGCTTGAGTCTTGAGTATAGAGTGTTACTGAGTATTGTGAACTGAAATGCTTTTCAGTTTTATATTGGGAATATACAGACATAGCCTATTCATAAGAGCATGTTTGTAGAGACAGTCTGTGTTTACCTTTAGATGCTGTGGTTCAGAGATTTAGGGTAGAATGTTTCAGAAGTTCAATAATATTTCAATTGTCATGTATGTAAAGTGTAATTCCATAATCCAGCAAAATATTTGCCTTGCAATGAGTGCTTTGCTGAATTGAGATGGTACAGCTGATTGTGTTTGCCTGAAGTTGCTTTGACCTTTGGGTCATCACTGTTCAGTAACGGAGCACTTGCCAAATTCCACAGGGCAGCAGCGTGTCTCTGTGACCAGCCTCCTGGTGTGCCATGGGTTACTTCTGGTTGGAACAAACCTGGGTATTATAGTAGCCTTACCAGTGCCACGCTTGCAGGGGATTCCCAAAGTAACTGGTGAGTGAAATTTCTCAAACTATTAAGTACTGAAGATGTCACTTCTCTTCTGCCAGTAACTTAAGTGAACCTTCCAAATTATATGCATTGTTTAGACAAAAGTTAGAGCTGTGTGATGAAATTATACTTGTTGTTCTTTCCAAGCTTTACAATATTATCTAGATATTTATCTCAGTTGTTTGAGAGGGGACACTGTTTTTCTTTAAGACATAGGCATTAATCCTGTTGGAGTACAACCCCAAATATATGAGGATGAGAAGAGAATGCAGAGAGTCTTATTTCCAGATTTAGGGAAAATAGTTACATTAGGTTTAGAGACACAGATATTTAAAAATAAGCATGTTGTCTAACTGGTTTTTTAATAAATTGATTGTGTCCCCTTTTCCTCCAAACTGGAGACTTGGAATATATGAGAGTATGTATTTCCTTTTTTTAAAAGTGATCAAGGTTTTTGCATTCTGGAGAGATATATTTATGAGTTACTTTCATATTACCCCATTTGAAATACAAACACACAAATGCTTCTGTATCACTATACAAGGGTTTAAGCTACTATTTGAAGCAAGGTTTTAAAAATGTGTTTAATAGGGGCTTTTCCCCAATGTTTTGGATTCAGAATTCTACTCAAGCTTCTGTTTTGCAGAGGGAAGCTGGCAGATTTTATGAGGCAAGCTGTTTTGCAGCTTCCTCCAAGGGGAAAAAAAGCTTATGTAACTTCTCAAAATGAAAATTAAATCCTCTGTGTTCAGCAAAATACACAGCAATAATCTGGTATGACACAGGATAAATGCTTTGTAAAAATCTTAGGTGAAAATAAATACAATTACAAGAATATGCATAGTTGCAGAATCAAAAAAATCTCTCATTCTTCCATTTTCTGTTTTTATTATTTTGGTTTATGTCTCATATTCTTGCATTTATCTGGAATCAAGATTTTATCCAGATACTTGTCTAGTTTTGTCTCAGTTGTTTGATAACTTTGATAACTGTATTTTGAATTTAAAAACTGTGGCTTTTCCCCATTATGTTTCTAATAACAATAATTCACCTTTATGTGAATGTACTTCCTGTAAAAGCAGAATATGTTTTCTTACAATGTAAAATGCATTTGGGATTTAGGACTGGGTGTAGTGATTTATAAGATATGTGGGCTTTTCCCCTTGCTTGCCTAGCTCTTTTTAATAATGTATCTTATTTAGTAGAATTCAATTTTTTCTCCCTTTTTTTTTCTGTAAAAGGCACATCTATTGATACTGTTATAGCTTCTCAATTTGGCCATGTGCAATTTGTTTTTCATACATTCTAATGATTTGCACTGTGTAAATCTTCCTTGTACCACCAATATCCCACTGATTAAATACTTAAAAAAAAAAAAAGAAAAAAAAAGATTGTTCAGTTAGTTCCTTATGAATCTATAGTGGTAACTAGACAACCAGAAGGATGAGTTTTAGTTCCTGTTCTACAGTGTGGATGGGTCTGTTGCAATGAGAAGATGTTCTTACACTGTTCTGGAGAGCTACAGAGGTAGAACAGGATTGATTTGGTGTACACAAAATATGTGGGGATTACTGGAGAAAATGCAGTGTTACATTTGTGTCAATGCCAGCTAAAAAGTCAGCAGTATTTCTGTGCTCATGCCATAGTGAGAACAGAGCACAAAAGTACATCATCTAAAGTTCATATGCCATATTTCAGCTGATTTATTAGTCCTAAAGCACTTGTGGTAGAACATTATTTTTTACTTGTTTTTTTTTTTCTGTAAATAGTGTCCACACAAGGCAAAAGACTGGATGCATATAACCGGGCATTAAGAGTTACGCTATTCTGAGCAAATTTCATGAACTAATTATGGCAGAACACTGTGGTCTGAGAAATAATGTTCTTTAATTGTGTCTTTTCTTTTGGCTCCAGGAAGAGGAATGGTGTCATACCATGCACACAATAGCCCAGTCAAGTTTCTTGTAACAGCTACATCTATAAACAAAAAGAACAGAAACAAAGTGAGAAACAGCCTCCCTCCTGGCTCAGAACCTAAGGACGATGACCAAAAGAACGTTCTGCACAGTGAAAGACCTGGCTCTTCCCTTAGCAACGCCCAGGACACGGCAGTTTGGCTGGGGGATTCAGCAGGGTCCATTGCACAAAGAAGTGACTTGTCATCATCTTCTGGATCCCTTACTTTGTCTCATGGATCAAGTTCCCTAGAACACAGACCAGAGGACAGTAACATTTATGAGCTTCTGAAGGATCAAAATATCTCATTTAAAAGTAAAAGACAGAAATCTAAGAAAATGAAAGCAAGTTCAGTATTAGTAATTTCTGGTGGCCAAGGACACAGAAGAGTGAACAAGAAGACCAAGCAGCAGCGACAAGATGAACTAGTGTCTTCAGTGATGGTCTGGCAAATCCCACTATTAAATATCTAACTGAACTAATTCCAAGATTGTTTTTGCTATTAAAAAAATGTGATATCCTTTTGTGGCTAATGCCAGCTTAGGACCCAAGCAGATAGGCTTTATACACCTGGGAGCAATTTCAGTAGGCTTGGATCACAGGATTAAGAGTGCAAGACAGTCTTCACATCCTTAGAACATTCTGCAGTGTTAGAGTATTAGAAAATGTTTAATTATTGGTGCTGTCTTTGATACTTGGGAAAAAAAGGAATGTTAGGGACTTTAAAATGGTTTTAGAATCTCTTACCTTATTTATACTCACATTTATAAATATCTTAATTATGTTCTATAGCACTTAGGGAAGGCAAGGAAGACATGCCATGTCTCATGCTGGATTCTGCTTGCATAAATCAGTTGTTTCTACTTTTTCCAAAGTGACATATTTTGGAAAGAAGAGTAGATTTTGGCATGGAAGAGTAGATTTTAACAAATTAATAAATATTTTTAAATAATAAGTAGTCTAATGTGAGCTAGTATTAATTTGGCAAAAATTATAATAGCTTAAAACTTCATTCCACATACCAGAGTTTGGCTGGAACAAAACTGGCTAAATTAATTAATCAGTACTTTTTTATTTCAACATAGAACATAGATTTTTTTAAAATACTAATTTCTAATGCTCAGTATTATTAGAAGTGTTGCAGTACAAAAAGCACATTGTCTTGGTGTGATGTGTATGCAACTTGGTTTTGTTATACACAAAGTTGCAAGCATGTGATGGCTTTGGGCAAAGAGAAAATACAGATACAAGACAGCTGTGCATTGTAGTGCTGATAACATCCTCACTCTGCAACTCAATATCAAAGCTAAACATGGATTGTAACATTTTTAAGGAGGCATAGACATCCAGTAAATTAATAATGAAGTTATTAATTAGTGCATTAATTGAGAAGATATATATATACTAATATAGGAATATCTAAAGGAAGTACAGGTAATCACTCTAAGTCCTACATTAGCTGAGTTGTGCTGTGTCCCCAGGCAAGCATCTATCAAATAATGTCACAGTGCAACAGCAGAGATATGGCCATATCTGAGCAGCAAGCACTTCTTTTCACCCAGTTTCAGCAAAGCACAGCCCTCTAAATGGGTATTGGGAAAGTGGGGTGCAGAGCTTCATTCTATCAGGCAAGTTGTCACTTTGGTACTGTAAAAAGGATGAATTCTAAGTAGGGACCTGACCAATGTTTTATTCATTAATTGATGTATTTCCAAAGGAAACTTTAAATTTAGGATTTGTACTGAAATTGCCTGTTGCACAAATCTCTGCACATGTGAAATACAAGCAAAAGGCTTCAGCCCATAAAGACATTGCCAGAAATGGTGATTTGCCCTGAAATGGTTTTTGCTACTTCTAATTCAAAGCCTTGATTCCACCGTTTTTTTTTTTAAATTTGCTTAGTTTAAATCACTATCTAAATCACTAATAAGGACAGTGTTTCCCAGCATGTGCCATTTCAAGGCAAACAGTACTAGAGACTGAAGTATTTTTGTTGGATATAGTAGTAGGGTTGGGGGTTTTTAAATGATGTTGAAATTTATTTTCTTAATTTTGCAACAGATCTGTGCACATCTAAAATTTCCAATTTGTTTGCTTTAAAATGCAAGCCACTATCATGGTGACCCCAAAATCAGTGTGTAGGCTGGCTGAGCAAGTTTGACAGAGCACTGGACTAACATCAGGTCTTCCCTGATGCCTGACACCAGTGCGGGGGACAGAAGGAATGCTTTGACTGCTAAGTGGCACCAAAATAGGCATTTCAGAATCAGGTATGCATCCTGGTTTCAGAGGCTTTGCCCACATCTTCCATTGAGTCATAATAGCATGAATTTCAATGAGTCACAAAGGATACTTGTTATAGATGGGATTGTAGGCTTAGGATCTTCATTACTGTTTTGTGCTTTTCTTCCATGTCTTTTGCTTTGTGTCTTGCAACTTCAGTTGGGTATTGTCAGTGTTGGCATAGACATAGTGTTGGCTTGAGTCCTGGTAAGGAAAAAAAAAAAGGAAAAAAGCAGAGTGCCTCTAAGCCAGGCAACTGGCAACATTTTCCCAAACTTTTCTTCTCCTCCCTGACCTACTGCTTAGGCTCCCCTAGCTTGAGAGATCAAGGCCAGTTTCATTTTATATACTCTTCCATAGCTATGGCCCTGGGAGCTGCTCTTTGCCCACTGTGTGGAAGTACTACGTTGTACAGTTTAATGTATGTATGCTGAAAAGCAAGTTAAGAGATTCTTCTGTGTATAAAGCATATATAATCTAGTATCCCTTGGCTCTGCTGCAGCAAAAAAACCACAGGTTTTATTTCACATGTTCCTCAGGCATGGTATTCCACGTCCCTGCCTTTAGGACTAGAGAATCTCATCTACTCCCTGATAGATCTTGATCAGTAGGAGCAGTAAGTAAAGTCCACCACACACTCAACTGGAAATCCATGCATTGCAGGATCCCCTAGCAGTAGTTCCTTGAGAGTTGTAGAGACATTTATCCTGTTAGTTAAAATGTAATTTTTTTCAGTTCTATATATAGAACAAATCAATAGAACAAAGTACAAATCTGCTCTTCTGAAAGTACGTTGGAGTTTTGCCAGTGATTTCTGTAAGAAAAGAATGGGTCACTCATCCAATTCCCCTATTTTGAAAATATCTATTTATCTTACTAAACTGTAAAGCAAAAGAGAAGCTGTATGTCTGTCTTTAAAAATACATATTGTCATAAACTAGATTTTAGTAATTAACTGAGCACAAAGGGCAATGTTCCTTTTTGAAATGCAACTTTCTGGTATTATGTTACTACAAAAACAGGCAGGAACCAAAGTTTCTCTTACAGCTGACAAATAGTCCTTATAGCGTTGTAGACTGTGCTGCTCAGAGGTTGGATTTTGCTTTCTGATACTGCTTTTCTAGATTAATAGAAGTTATGAAAATAATAGGAAAAAGGGGAGCAAATGTTACCACTACAATATATTCTATATATGTTTTCTAACACTCAGTAGTGTCTTTTGTAACATGAGCCATAAAACTTGTGTATTTATGTTCAAAGTATGAATTGAGACATATGTTGAATAAAAAATACTATAAAAATTAACTTCAGAAGAACATCTTCAGTTGTCATTTTAACTAGAAGGTTAGAATATGGGTCATGCATTAATGAATAATATGGACTCATGCAAGAGAAAATAGTATATGTGGTTAGGATTACAAAGATGAATTTTTTTTAGTTTTATATTTCTGCAATTTAAATGCCAGCAAATGCAGTTTCTGAAAATTATGCAGTCATTTATTATAAGGTTTGATTACTGTATCAGTAGATTCAAATAGTGTCTAAGCAGTAGAATTTCTACTATGCTGTGTGGAGTAAGCATCAGCACTTGGGCAGCATGCATGCTGCATAAAAATGAGAAGCATTAATTTTGAAAATGAGTATTGCAGAGCAAAGGCTTTAAGAGAAGAAATTAATTTTCAGTTGTTAACAGGCAATTCTTTCTAATTAATCTGCCCTAAAGGATGCATAATCCCATGATTGTGTTTAAATACAGAGACTTGTATTTATCAGACTCAGCAATAGCCTTTTCGAGCATACCTGTGCTAGTATAAACAAACAAGAGCATTTACTGAGAATTCTTTGGTTGCTCGAAAGCTGCCTGTTTGCTCCTGGCTGTATACATCTCTTTAGTACATGATTGTGAAAAACATCAAATCATATGAGTGCAGGATACCTGTGCACACCTGGAGACAGATTCTGTCCCAATGGGAATTTACAGTTCATTATCTATGGTGACAATCTGAGGGCTAAAATTGCTTACTGCCACTTTGAGAGAAGCCTGAATATTGGGAAGGGTTTCCTGAACTGTGGTTCAGTACTTAAATTCCACTGTTCTATTTCTTCTGTCCTGTTTAATTTTCTAACTGCATATAGACAAATTGGTTTTCGTAAAATGCATTTGCAGGTGAATATCAGTCATTTGAAAGGTGCAGCTGTAATGGAGCTGTAATGCATGAACTACTCTGTATTGCAATGAGTGACACCATGGAACTGATAACAGTATTTTTAGATTGCTTTACATAGCTTCATAGTAATAATACTTCACATAATAATAGTCCTGTTAAGAAGGCAGATTTGTATCTGTAGCTAGGAAGAAAATAAGTTGAAAAGCATTTGCCTGACTTGAAGCTGTATGGTGAGTCTGTAAAAGAACACAGATTAAAGCCATTGCTGCTCTCCAAGCCCATGATTAGTCCTTTAAACAATCTCTTCCTTGCAGGTGTCCTGTACATGTGGTGGTGGAAAATGTCTGTGTGAGTAAAGTGGCCAGGACTAGGGCGGCAACTGGAGCACTGAGCTGTGATCACAGGTAGTAGTTGACTGCTGGGGTTGAACATGACCTGGGCTGCTCCTGTCAGACAGCACTGGCAAAGCCACTTACCTGCTACATATTAGGAACTGATTAACTATGTTAATATAAATTGTGTGGTGCCATTTGCAGAATAGGCTTTCTGCCTCTAGTTTCTTGATACTGATGCAGCCTTTCTTGTATCCATACAACCTTCTTTCTGTTCGATGGTTGCCTAAAAGTCTGGAACTTGGGACCTGTCAGGAGATAGAAATACCTACTAGCATAGACTTGACATGTACCATACAGGTACCAAGCTGGTATGAAGAGTGCCACTGTTAATCTGGGATGGTTCATCAGCTGCTTGCACCATGCCACAGCTCAAAATTCTGGTCTACTTCCTATACTTTTTAAGATTCAGGGGCTTTATAGCTGTATGTAGAATCTACATGCTGTTTCCTCACAAATGCAGCATGCACACTGCCAGATCTATCTGCTATTCAGTTTGAGAAATCTAGCTAAAGATTTTTCAGAATTAGTTGCTGCTGTTTTTCAATTGTGCTTCCTAGATTAATAGCATTTTTTTAAAAAACTACCAAATTGCAAAAAACACTTTTTCCTCCAAAAACAAATAGTCAACAAAGCAACACCAAAACAACTTCAGATGAAAGGATTAGAAAATTTCCTAGCAAATTAAGATTTACTGTGTAACTCCATTTGAAATGCAACAATGCTGATATATGACCAAAAGCGCTTCAAGTGCTTTGGCCAAGCTCCATAAACCACACTATAAAGCAGTTAGTCTTTCACAGCATGACCTTCAAAGGTGTTCAAAGGGATTTTTTTCCTCCAGCAAAACCAGCCTTGACAGCAGAACTGCAAGTTCTACTGTTGTACATATTGTTATACTCCAATGATAATCACAGTTATCATTAGTGTGTGTCCCAGCCTACAAGAGGAGCCAGAACACCTAGGATTAAAACGACACACCTTGGGGGAGATAAAATCATAAGGATTTACTGGAAATACAATTTCAGGAGTATTTTGACATCAAAAGGCTCAGCTGAGCCTCCAGCAGAGTTTTCTCAAAGCACTGAAGTACCTGATTTCCACTGAAACTTATGTATCTTAAATGCCCAAATGCAGATAACAAAAATGGTTTTAAATTGAAAAAACTTAGCTACAGAAGTTTCATTTTTCCTTTCTCTTATTCCACATTGGAGAGAAACTCTGTGGGTTTCAGCTTGAGCATCAGGATCACCTTTAATGTGGGTACAAAAACTGAATTCACTCACGCCTTCCAAATCAAATTTCTTAAACTGTTTCCTATGGGCTTTTCTGGTTTGCTCTATTTGTGTGCATTTCAAGTTGCAGAACACACCTGGCAGACTACACTAACTAAATGCTTTTCAGTGTTCCCTTTCTATTATTAATTAGTTACTACCCAATTAATTTCTATTAGTTGGGTAGCACAGACTGCATGCTTTAATAAGGAGGATTACCCCCAAGATTTCTAAGAGCAACCACTCTTCTGCAATGTTGCTCAGAGCAGCCTATGATGCTTTTAGTCCTGATCACAAGCAGCTGACACCATCAGTTAACTTAAGCTGCATCTGCACTGCTGAAGTGCAGAGCGCTGCAGAGGTTACAGACACACGCTGTGAGGCCATATCAGGTGGGATCCATGTGCCAGCCTCCCCTTGCCTTTCAGGGGAGCAAAGCTGGTTATAGCCTTTGCCAATACATGGTAACATTCCATATGGCATTTGGGGAGAAATGTACAGATAATGAGGTATTTTGCTCCACACATGTAGATGAGACAGGTGATGGGAACAATCTGTGGCTGATTATGGCTGGGAAGAAACGACTGGATAAATTCAGCAATGTAAAGGGCAAGGGTCGGCTCTTTATTTTCCCAAATTCTTGCGGGTTTTATTTTTAGCAAATTAACAATGATGTGCACATTTTCTCAATTGTTCATCTAAGTAAATGTGTGTTTTCCCTATCTTTTAACTTCATCAGATGCTTTCAACCTCATTAAAAACTGCTCTACCTGTTCAGATCACACTTTTGGGTGGCAGATATTGATTAATATTGCATTGAGGCCTTTTTTCTATGCCTTTTTTTTTTTTTTTTTTCAATTTTTTTAAATTAAAACCAATATTCTTTTGTCTCTGGTGCACAGAAGTATGCAAACCAACACTGAAATAATATTTATGATTTATTTTTCCTTATAGCTATAAGGCTCTATCTGCTACAAGCTGATAACCCTCATGGTGCAACCAGCACTTTTCTTCCAATTCTACTATCTGGGTGTATTACAGGGATGTCTGAAAAATAGTACATGCAGATCAGCTTGGCCCTGCATCAGATGAATATAACATATCATGTGTGACATGTATACAGCATGTATAGGTTTTGTATTCCAAATATAAAAGATGTATTTTAGGCATCTTTGCTCAGCAGAAATACAATAATTATTTGGTCTGTTCCAGCAATACCATCAAACCAGCCCCTGAGTCTGTTGTATTACAACACCAAGAAGTATTTCACATGGGAATGTTCAGCTGTTCATAGAATGAGGAAAAGAAGTCAGGTTTTATTTCCTATTTGTGTTGTTTTGGTTTTACATGTTGGCTTCTAGCCTGGGCACTGTAGGGAACACAGACATTAACTACTACCACTGAGTATCTGTCACTCCAGTAATCTATTCACAGAAGGAATTCCAGCAAGTTTCAACTATTATCTGTTCCAGAATTTTGATGCTACAACATTTATTTTTTCAATACATCCATGTACCAATCCAAATAATAAACAAACAAACAAACAAAAAAAAAAAACCCAGCCAAACAATGAACGCAGAAATCTAAAAATAGCCATAGCCTACCAGCAGCTTTACATGTGCAAAGGCACTGGTGGCAAGTCTGTGGAGACATACCAGTCCTGCCTAGTGTGCAGGACATGTGCCCACAATGTGATGGACTCAGTGAGCAAAGGCTGCAAAGCCCACCTAATTAGCTGGGTAAATAATTGAGCATAGACCCATATGCAGTCCCGTGCTGCCATGGGTGCACTATCTGCATGATTCTACTTTGCTTACTTATAGAAGCTAGCCTGCATATGCTGTGAGATACCCTCTGAACCTGTTATCTAAGGCTTAACATTTCTTGATTCATAGGATGTGGAGTGAATATTTCATCTGGATAAAATAATTATTTGGTTAAATTATTCCTAAACTCCTTAAATTAGAAGTTCTGACAAGAATCAACCATCTGAGACTGGAATTATTAATTTTTAATGTGACCTACTGGCTAATTTTGGCTGAGGAGCTGTGCGCTCGCTCCAGCTACCGTGATGGCCCAATCATGCAAGACAGTCTACAAGCTGGGAATGGCAGCAATGCAGCTGCTGGTACAGCCAGTGGGAGAAAGAAAAAAATAAATATATTACCTTGCTCTGGAAGAGCATGGCCCTGATAAGCTCTGAGCAGATGTGCTCTGGATCAGGATGCTGTTTGGTGACCCTGTCATGATAAAGGCTTTCAGCACTATTGTCTATTTCTGCACTGGAGACACTGTAGCATTATGCCTTCTAGAAGGAATACTTTGTTTTGTCTGATGAGGATTACAGAGGTGTGCGAGATAAAAAACCTTCCCATTCCTATTTCTTCATTTGGATTTTTCTTTTTAACCAGAGAAACACTTGATAAAATTCTTTTGTTCCAAACTGTATTTCCTTTTAATTACTGAGCACCACTGCTGGTATGCGAGAGACACAGAGTATGGGCTGCATGTCCAGAAGGAATTCTGCTGTATGTGACTGAGCAGGGGCCACCTGAGGTTTCTGGGGCAGAGCACAGCAAATGTTTCCCTTCCTGCCTCTACTCAGCACTCTACTGTTGTTATCCCAGGCTAACTGCCCCTTGCAAAACACAGGATCTCAGCAAGTCCTGATGGCCAGTAGCAGCATTACAATAATATATCCGTCCCCTTGAATATTTGTCACATCGGCTGGGCTACAGAAATGCATTTCAGGCACCAAACTACGTATCATGTAAACTGTGTGATACCTGATTTCTTTAGGATAAGGTCTTTTCTACACTGGGACAATGATTCATCTCATGCAAATCAGGCATTTAAAAATTGTCTACAGCTGTACCAGACTGACTTTACAGCTAATGGAGAAAAATAAGAAATACCAAAAGGTGATTCACCACATCCTAAGATAAGATGTCAAAGATAGGTGAAAAAAATTGCCCTTCAGACATAGTTATTTCTGTACATTAGTTATAAATGGAGCCTCAGGAACTCAGGTTAACTAAGGAAATCAAGTGACTAAAGCTGAGATGATTTCCCCAGTGTGTGTCCCAGTTTTTTCATCACCTCCAGTTCTATGAGAAACTGTGAGGTTAATTTATGAGCAGCCTTATTCTCCATAGCAAGTGTCCTGGCCTATGATCCACAGAGCTGCAGTATTTTGCAAAAATTATGCTTAGAGGTCAGCAACTCCTTTTTATTTGTTTATACTAATGGGTTTAATGACAAAGGAGCACAGGGAACTGTAAAGAAACTTGGTGGGAAGAAAGTAGACTGAGTTACAAAGTAAGGGAATTTTGCTGCCCACAGCTGAACTTCCATAAAGGTCATTTTCGCTGATCTGCTTCTGGCAATGTTCAGTGAGGGCGGAGAATGAAGTCTGCAGCAGCCAAGTGCTACCTGACTTCTCAGGCTAGGATCTCCATGGAATTGGATTTTGTAAAGGTCTTCTGCTGGCTCCATCCACAGGGCCCATAAAAACACATTGTTACTTCCTACCTACTACAGGTTTTCAAATGGTCTCCACAAACTACAACTCGGTGTACACTCATACTGGAATGTGATGTGGCAATTAAACCTGAAGAGAAGCTAAGAAAATCCAGTAGTGGTTAAAATCGTTTTGTATTCAGAAAGCGTGAGTCAGAATGATATGATCTCAGATATTATACTGCTGCTACAGCCACATAACTCTCATCAGTATGAATAGAAGTCAGGCACCTTAAGGAGAGACAATACTCCAGAGAAATAGAACAACAGAGATTTTAAAAGTGAAGATAATTTCCCATACTGTATCAATTGTCTAATTTTAGTATCATCTTGAATTATATAGCATTTAAAGTAGCATGAAACAGCAAGAATATTAATTCCTGATGTCAGAGAGAAGAGTTATTTCTGGCAGGTTTTAATGGATCTACTGTACCATGTACACAACTTACATTCCAATCTTGTAATGGAACGAAATCAGGGGACAGTGACAAATTTACAGTTATACTAAAGCCACGTGCTGTGGTTTCAGTCTCTTCTAAAACCCTGGTGACACTTTATGATTGTTGCTTATCTATTTTATAGCTCCCAGAAGAGCGCTGCCTCTCTCAGTCGAGATGAGACACGACCTCTGCTTGAACACCAGCCTGCTGGTTAAGAGCTGCTCTAAGTCAGAGCACAACGTGACTGGAGCCAAGGGTTTCAAGTGGTTACAGTTATCCAGCACTGCATGCAAGTACTTTAGTTTATTAAGTGCTAAGTCAACACATGAGAGTTTTTAGCACAACTGATGTCAAAAAGTAGAAGCTATGGGACAAAATGAAGTAGAAGACACCCAACCACACTTAGCCATCACAACCATGATGCTAGAACATACAGCTGCAATGGCCACACTGCCAGCATAGAAGCAATTAATTGTCAGGTTAATTTGAGACAGGAGGTGGTAGTGGCTTTTCAACTCTGCTCAGGAGTGTCTCCCAAGGCCAGGAGCCACTTACTGGGCACTGCAGGGGAACCAGTCTGACAGGTCCCTGGAGTCCCTGGAGAGGGAAAAAGAGAAAAACTGCAGATTAATAGTGTTTTGAGGCAGCAGTATCATAGGAAAACTATATGCTACAGAGACAATACGATATATCCCAGCACCAGAAATGGGTCAGGGATTAGGGCAGCATGTCTGCTGTCTTGGCAGAAATCAAACTGCAGCCTGCAATGGGACTTGAATTAGGTTACGTACCACTGCCTGTGTCGGGAGCAGACTCAGAGTCCAAATAACATAACGTGAATTGTTTTATAAGAAACTGAAAAGCGGGTTTAATTCAGGGAATCCTGACGAGAGTCTCAGCTTTGAGGCCAGGAGAAAATGGGAGCTTGGTGCCAGTTGCACCTGGCCGCCACGGCGTTGCCCCTGGCCGGCAGGCACAGAGCGGCCCGGCGGCTCGGGGCGGGCGGCTCGGGGCGGGCGGCTCGGGGCGGGCGGCTCGGGGCGGGCGGCTCGGGGCGGGCGGCTCGGGGCGGCGCCGGGCCCGCGGCGCTCGGGGCTCCGGCCGGGGCGCTGCGCTGCGCCCCTGCGGCAAAGCCCCCGGCCCGGCCTCACGCGGGGAGCGGCGGCGCCGCCCCGCGCACCCCGGCACGGCTCCCCGGCCCCGCCCGGAGCTGAGGGCGGGCCCGGCGCTCCCCCCGGCGCCGGGGAGGGAGCTTCTCCTCAGCGCGGGCAGGTGGGGCCGCCGCGCCGCCCGCCCGCCTCCGCGCCGCGGGGCCGCGCCTGCCCCAGCCCGCGGCGCTCCCGGCGCGGCCGCTGCCCCTCGCCGGCAGCCGCCGGCAGCAGCAACAGGTCCGTGCCCGCTCCTCCCTCCGCCTGCCGGGCGAACAAAGGGGCTGAGCGCGGCCCCTCCGCCAGCCCGGCCCTGCGCTTCGGCCACTTGCCCCGCCTGGCACGGCGGCGCCGCCGGCCGCCGCTCCCGCTGGCGCTGCCGGGCGAGAGGTGAGCGGGGGCCGGGGTCGGAGCCTCGGGGGAGGGCTGGTGCCGGCATCTCCGATAGCCGCGGTAAGGACCGCGACGTGGAGCCGCGGCAGCGCGTGTGTGTGAGAGGGGTTGCTGGAGCACTGTCAGGTTTGATCGTGTTTCTTTTCTCTTCCCTCTGGCCCCCTTAATCCACCTTCTCTGGGCAGCGGGGAGCCTGGGCATATCTCCATATGCCTCCTCCTTATGTCGCAGAGAAGCCAACCCTGATGCCTACGTATTTTATTATTATTTTTTTATCCTGCTGACCTGTTAAATACAGTAATGACTTTGTAGCGTTTAGGGATGTGTAACAGCAGGAGATGGCTTTCCGCTATAAATTCTTCATGGCGTGTTACCCCATCCTGCTAAAAGCACACGCAAGCCCTGGGTGAGCATACGCGTGCAGGATTTGGCAGGGTGGAGGATGCTTCAAAAAAAACTTAAACTGAATTTCAGTAGGTAGATTTTTATATCTGGTGATTTAAACCAACAAAAAGCAGACTTCTGAACCCAAACTTACACATAGCATAGAAAATGATATTATTAAATCCTATAGCCTACTTTTTTTACCCATCAAGAAAAAAAAAAAAACCTCTAGAAATAATAATATTTTGTAAAGCTTGTCCACAGCAATTAAACCAAATAATAGAAAACTGGAGCAAAAAGCTAGGGAAAAAAGTAGGGCAATAAAAAATAGAATAGCAATAAAAAAGAACAATCTTTCTGTATGATCTGAGAAGCAAAAGGGCTTCTCTGTTTTCCAGGGACTTAACCATCTGTCTCCCAAAAAAGAATTAGGTGGAATGTTCATGGAAAATAATAATTAAATTGTCAGTAGTATTGATAAAGCAATATTTCCTCCCTCATTTAACTGTTTGGCCCATTCTGCTTGTTCTGTGTTCTCTTCCCAGGGCCCATCACACTACATTTATTCACTCTTTAATTAGGACATCCAGTGCATGCCAGTGGGATGCTCTGGTCATCCACTGCTAATGGCACTGTCTGATGAGAACCTGCCAAGAGCCAAGGACTGGTCCCATGCCTGCCCCAGCTCCTCTGTGCTCTGCAGGACTCGCTCCTGGCAGTGGAAGTTAGTGGTGCAACTTAGAAGCTGGAGTTTGCAGGACTGCACCTTGATAATGTCAAAAGGCTGAAATCTGTAGTAGCTTCCTTTCTTTTACAAACGCTGTGTTTGCATCGCTTTTCAATATAACAAATAGTCCAAAGAGATGGACAGACTTGAAATGTCAATAAATATTAGAGCACCATTATTTGGCAGGAACATTCAATTAAAGTCATTAACTGGCTTTACTATAGTAAAGCAGGATTATAGTATTTAGGGCTGGCCTAGGTTACCATAGAGATGACGATGTGGTGAGATGACTGCATCCAGATCCTACTTACCAGGGGTTTCAGCATCCTGTAGTATCCTGTTGCAAGAGGATATTAGGGGCAGCTGACTGCTAAAGAAGGGTATAATAAAACATGAAAGGAAATCCTGCAATTTCTTTCAAGGTAGAATTAAACTTTTTTTTTTTAAATACTATTTTTCCTTGGTGGGATCCTTTGTGGATTTTGCAGCGATTTTTCTGTTTATCCCTAGTGACACTGTATAGCATTGCAGTTGGGAGTCTGTTTCTTGCCTCTGAACAGAAGCAGAGAAGTCATTTTATGCCACTTCACATCCTTGAAAATACCCATTTAAAAAATGAGCCAATTTTCATTGTATTATATCTCATTAGCCTTCTCAGGACATGACATTTTTACTCTTGGTGTTTTATTTTTCAGTGAAATTGTCATCATCTATTGTTTCGGCTTCATGTTTGGTCTCAGTCTTGTTTTGTCAGTGAGCAGGCATGATTAGTTCCTTTCATTGAAGAAGAATTACTTTATAGCAGTTCAGGATTTGACAGCCAGTTTAACCTTATGTGTGACTGAGCTCTTATTGAGCAGAAAGGGAACCAGCTCTTTCCCTAGCCTGGGCTGTACATTCCTGCCAATTCCCTGGGCCAGAACTCCTCACCATGTGACAACACAGTAAATGCACAGAGATTTTTCCTTCCTCCTGCACTTAATTAAGCAAGCACTCAGTTTACACTGCAGATGTTGGCATTACAAGTGGGGCTAGTTCTGTGAGCAGTGTTTAAATCTGTCTGTAACTCTCTGCAGGATCAGGACCAATTGATTGGCAATGCTGCACCCTTTCCTTCATCCTAAAATGCTCCATGGATGCTAACTGGCAGTTTTTGCTTTGGAAGCATTACAAGACTGGGTCAGTATTGTATATGTTTTATTGAGTGTTAATGCAAAAAAGAGCTGGTTGGGTATTTTTTTCTGCACTATACATTTGGTATTTCCCAGTTTATTTCTTATATCTCATCAGCGAGGATAGCAGGATTCATGATTGGTTAAGTCAGTTTGTTTAATGCAAAACGAGCATGAGAAAAAAAATCCAGTGGTTCTACAGATTTTGCATCGTATGTCAGGGAGATAAGAAAGATGTGTCACATAAATGCTTTTCAGGTGTGATTTTCACAAGCTGCCATTGCTGTGCCTCTGGCTGAAACTGGTTGACAGGCTTTTTTAACTTACTTGGAAACATGCCAGAAAACACAATCTTTCTATACAAATCAACACATGTTGGTCAAGCAGCTTCCATGCTGTTATGTTGTCTGTCACAACATGATTTGAATTAATTGAAGTTATTTTACATTTATGCATTCATAGATTAGCACAAACTCTTAGTTGTTTTTCTGGACACTTACTCCTCCAGGAATACTTAAGGAGCTAGGTAAGTTTTGCATCTCAGCTTTGGATCTCTAACTGCTGGCAGGATCCTGGACTTGTGAATAATTTCAAACTATCAACCTGTCAGAGTTTCACAATAGTTCTGTCTTTTTCTTCTTGAAAGCAGTTCCGCTTTTTTCTCCTTCCCCCTTTCTTGTAAGTAGATTGAAAAAACAGGCCCTTAGCTCTGGAAATGACCTATTATTTCTGCAATCCATATTTTAGGTGTTAGACAGTAAGAACTAAAAGCCAACCCTTTGCTGCAGGAGTGGCATGTGAAACTAATGTTCTGATTCTGTCAAAGACAAATCTGTTTTTGGGAGAGTTTTTCTCTTATCCTGTAGCTTTCTTTCATCTTTCCTTTTACTGCAACTCACTGCATTGCTTTAGTTAAAAAAAAAGCTACCGTTTGTATTTGTCTGTACAGTTGTGGTGGATTAATCCTGGCTGGATGCCATATAGCTCCTAAAGCTGCTCTATTACTCCTCAGCTAGACAGGGGAGAGAAAATTAAGTGTAAGTCTCGTGGGTCAAGATAAGCACAGTGAACTACCACTCACCAGCTACTGTTACAAGCAAAACCGAGCTGACTTAAGGGAAATCAGAGTAGGATAATGAGAAATAAACCCAGATCTTAAAAACGTCTTCCCACCATACTTCTCTTTTTCTGAGGCTTAACTATACACTTGAATTCTTTACCTTTTCCCCACCCCTTGTGGTACAGGGAGAGAGAGACTGGGCATTTGGTCAGTTCATCACATTGTCTCTGCTGCTTCTTCTTCCTCACAGTCTTCTCCTGCTCCAGGAACAGGAGAAGGTTCTCCATAAAATTCTCCAGCATAAGTCCTTCCCATGGGCTGCTGTTCTTCACAAACTGCTTCAGCATGGGCCCTCTGTGGGGTCAAAAGTTCTGCCAGCAAATCTGCTCCAGTGTGAGCTTCCCACAGGGTCATGGCATCCACAGCATCCACCTGTTCCCATGTGGGATCCTCCACCAGCTGCACATGGATCTCTTCTCCACTATTAACCTCCGTGGGCTGTAGGGGCAGAGCTGCCTCACCATAGGCTGCAGGGGAATCTCAGCTCCAGCGCATGGTGCACCTCCTCCCTCTCCTTCTGCACTGACCTTGGAGCCTGCAAATCTGTTTCTTTCACATATTCTCAGTCCTGTCTTCTCTGGCTGCAGTCTGCTCCTGCGCAGTAACTTTTTCCTCTTCTTAACTCTATCATCCCAGAGGCACTGCCACCATCACTGATGGGCTCTGCCTTGGCCAGTGGAGGGTCTGTCCTAGAGCTGGCTAGCACTGGCTCTGTCAGACATGGGGGAGCTTTTGGCACCTTCTCACAGAAGCCACCTCTGCAGCCCTCCCATTGCCAAAACCTTGCCATGTAAACCCAGTAGAGCAGTGTAAGAAATCCAGATGCTCATGAAGTTAATGGGAATTTTCCTTGACTGGAGCGGGGTTGGGATTTAAGGTGATGGCAGACTCTGGCTTTATCAAAATTGTCTGTGAAACTTAAGTGGCAGTTTCTTGTTGCAGGCTACTATCACAAGTATCTTCAAAGCCATGGAAGTGAGCAGTACACAAACATACTTCTTTGACAGCAATTGATAATTGAGTTTTGAATTTTGGTTTCCACAACAGATGCACAAACAGCAAAAGTAAATGTTATTTGAGTGTACTGTAGTATGAGCTTTGGAGTTTGTCAGTGCCATGTGTCCCAAGAAGTTTTAAATTTTGATCTTAGGAAAACAAGGGTAAAGACTTCATGTGCATTCATGTGATAAAACTCACTGATGCTGCTTCTTGTTCAGAATAAGGTCTATACCACTCATTCTATGTGAATGACCTTTGAGACAGGCAAGAGAGTTGGAAGAATCTTTTAGTCCAATATTTGGACAGTATTTCTGCCAAGACATTTTGCAGCCTTATGGGAAATAAATACTTGGATTTTACCCCTAAAATCAGGCAGCTTTTCACATGACAGTGGCTGAAAAGCCTCAGTATCTGCTTTGAGATGTTGCTGATGTGTATCTAAAATCTTTCTAGTCAGAAGCAACCAAAGTTTAGACTTCTAACTGAAACATCAAAATCTCTAAATGGTCAGAACCACAAACTAGGATCCCTGAATCTAAGCTTTTTCTCACAGCTCCCAAATCATAACCGTAAAACCAAACATCTCTCTATGTTCAGCATTCTAATGTAAAAGTCTTACTTCTTATACTGGCTCCTAGCTGTACACCTCTGTCCAAATGGCAAACTAATAAATGCAAGAATAGCACTGTGACTGTTGAATATGCTGTATATTTAACTGCATGCATTAGCAACCCTTTATTCTGTAGCACTTGAAAATGATAAGTTTGAGTCATGGATTAGTCAGACATACTAAAGTCTTCTACTCTTGTGTCAAAAGTCCAAAAGCAGATGGGACAGTCCTGTGTTCATAATCACCCTGCGTGGTTGTGTAGCCACTCTGAATGTCTCTTCAGAAAGAGCAAAGATCATTTTGGGGAAGGAGAATTCCAAAGTGAAAAGCAGTATGTACATTTCTTCAAGGTATTCAGGATGATCTATTTGACAGCTGCTTTTCCATCAAGGCCATTGGCCAATGAATAGATGTGAGGTGAATGATCTGAGCAGAACAACGTTTTGACCTAATTCATCCAGAAGTTACTGGCTTGATACAAGAATAAAATTCTTTGGCCTATTCTTGCAGGAATTAGATTAGATAACCAGGCAATCTTTACTGTCCCTTTAATTTAGATACCTGTCTGCCTTGTTCAATGGAAAAAACATTATAGTGGGAGATACTGAATTACCTGCTCTAAATTCTTGTTGCAGAAGTTGAGCTTAGTCAGAGAAATTAGTGCCAGAAAGCCTTTGCCTGAAAACTCAGGCCCAGCATATGAAGTTCACATTATAGTAAAAAATGCTATGTACCCCAGGCAGAAAGTGTCAGCCCATGAAAATAAGAGTATTTTAATAGAAACCTGTTTTATTTCTGTCTCAGAATGGTCAGCAAGTGTTAGCTTCTACTAATTTAAACAGCATGCATTAAACTTTCTCTTTTTTCCCTGTTTAGTTCAAATGATTATATAAAGTCATTTCATACTTTGTTAAGCCCTCAGTTGCATCATTGCTGCTAAAAGCATTCCCATTGTTTGGTGAAATCTGGGCGGACAGCCTACAGGTACTCTTGATAGTGAAGGCTTGCTGAAAAAGTCCCTATGACTGCAGCATGCGTTTCTGCTTTGCGATCAGCACAAGTGGTTTTCAATCCTAGCACAAGTCAGAATGGCTTAGATCTCCAGGCAATATAGCTGAGCCCTGACCCACTAAAGGCTATGGGAAGAAATACAGAAACTTCCTTTTTGGCAGGGAGCAGAACTCAGGATTCTTCTTTCTCACTCTCAAAAACATTTTTTATTGTTTCTCTGAAAAATAATAACTGCTTTAGTCTGAAGGAGAGTAAGTCTTCTTTCATAAACTTGATGGTTTGGGCACTTGGTTTATATTTGGGGGTTTCAGTCTTGTCAGGCAAAGGAAGGGATAGTGACAAGTTCCCGTGGGGTTTGGTCAGAGCTCTAATTATTGTACAGAAAGTAGCAGCAAAAGTCAGTACTGCTATCTTTTAAAGTAATTTAGGTATATTTTGTAGAGGATTCTGGGCTGAGGCACCCAAAGCAAGAACTAAAGACCCCTGATTGCACATGCTAAGCACTTCATCACCATGGTCTTTAGTATTTTTCTACTGACTAGCCCTTGATAGCTCTCATGAGCTTATCTTTAAGGATCCAAATCAATTGGCATCTAATTGTACCCACCCATGCATAAGTGTGCAGAACCTGTGTGTATGTTCCAGATTCCATTCCAGGAGCTGGTTGCAGGTAGATCAGCAGTGCTGTGCAGTTCAAACACACAGCATCGGTCTCTCTTGCAAGAGAACTGGGAGGTACATCCCACCCACAGATTAATTCTGTGTGGGAATTTGGCCTTATGTCTATCCATCTTGGCCTGATTTTAATGAAATGAAATCAAAGAAGTAAAACTCCTGTGAGTAATCTAGTAGGTCACAGTTATAGGACCAACAGCAAAGTGTACCAGCAGCATTTCTGCCATGGCAAGCTGATTCCTTTCCTTCTTTCAGATTAAGGCTGTCATGCTGGAGGCTTTGCTCTGCTATCTGATCTGGCTGTCTTAGCTCTTACATCTTTGCTACATTGCCAGCTGCCAGATAAACCTGCCCTCAAAGTCAGCTTTTGCCATGTTTAGCACTGTGGCTGGTCTCTCTGTATTTGAATCCAGTCCAAAGTCTGTGTAGAGACAATGTCTGCAGGAACCTGGAATTTTCTTGAAATCAAACTGCCTGTAATATAATTTTTACTTGCAGCTAGAATGACTGTAAACCTTAAGTTTGAAGAAGTATCTGGGCAAAGAAACCATATATGAGTTCCAAAAATGAGAAGGGTGCCATTCATTCCATATCTAAAGGACTTCTGCCTTTCTTAGCATCACTTACTTAATTTGTCAATAAACCAGTAAAACTCTTCAGTATCTAAAAGTGGGACTTTTTTTCTTTTAAGTACCAGATCTAGAGATTGTCTAGGGAAAAAAGCATTTTCATTATTGTCTACTCTTTTACTTTCTTTTCCTAGGTATAAGTCTCAGAAAAATTGGACTGTTTGCTTCCCTTTGAAGTCTGTTGTTTCCTCTCACGTTCAGTCTTTCTCAAGCACAATGGTGACATATTTTGGCAGATTTATGGTGCTTTGGGCTCTTCAATCTCTATGCCCTTTATATAATGATATAAAAGCAAAATCCAGTTTTATCTTAGAGCAGGAATTTAATTTCCTCCAAAAGTTGCCCCATCTTCTGTATTAAATGCAATACAGAGCAGGTGTGTTGGCAGGGTGCAGTACATTTATGGAGATCAAGTGCTGTTCTGGAATTCAGAACCAAGGCTGACTCGATACTTCCATTTTCAAAAATCTGTCTAAACAAATTTGCTTGTTTGCTTGACTTGGCTTCTCAGTGGATAATCTCCTCCTTCTTTGTTAGTACCAACATTACCACAGTGTTTGTAGAGACTTTGAATATGTTTGCAATTTGTTGACAATACAGTTTAATACTGAAAAGCATTTCTGCAGTCAACATTACCACATTACAGCACATTACACATTAATGCTTAAATGAGGCTTTTAATCATCACAAGCTGATGTTTTGCTTCAAGTCAGTGCTCCTGGTGTATGGCAATTTCCAGAATTTAAGGTCAGAAAGGATTTCTAGATCAACTAGTCTGCTCCTGTCTAGTTTTATTTACCCTTGCTTCCCAGATGCCTTCCAGCAAGGCACATATTCAAGATCCCTTTCATCACGTTAGAATAAGGATCTTCCTATGTCACATGAAAGGCCCATGAAGATCAGCATCCTGCCTTCTACATGAACCAGTATTGACAGAAGTGTGTGGCAGGATAAAAATGTGTATTTCTCCATGGGATACTTCTTTGTCTTTGAATATTTATACGCTGACAGTTTTCTCACTCAGGATCCTTCTAAGCTGAATGCACTTTTGGGTTTCATTCTGTAGATTTCCTTGAGCCCATCCTTCCCTCTCCCCATCAATTATGGTAAATTTTAATTAACCACAATATGCTCTTAACAGTCTTTTTTTCCGCCTCAGCAGCATAAACCTTTTGCTTTGTTTACACTTACACTTGGTTTGCTTAGGGTTTCTTCACCAGCCTAAGAAAGCCTTCAGCATGCAGAATTTTCATGTGCCTACACTTGTGCAGAGTCAAGTCACAGAGCAAACATACCAAGCCCTGAAGAAGTGTCAGCTCTGCCTTTCTCAGGCTGACTAAGGCTTGCTGTACTAGTTCTCCAGGCTACTAGCACAAACCACCTTTTCTCCAAAGCCATGTGGATGTTAGAGGGTTTCTAAGCTAGGTATCACCTTTTTGCATGGGAGCTGGTGTGCATTTTGGAGACAGAGTAAGTAAGCCTTTGTCTGGTTTTAAAGTGCTGTTCTGAGTCTCTCACTAAAGTGGTTTTTTTATGTCTCTGAAATAATTTGGTATCTTTGTCTTCACAGATTTTTAAATGCTTCTTCCAAAATGTAAAGCCTTGAGTGTACATGCTTCCATCCATTCAACCACCATGTTCCATTGTAAACATACTAATGCTGTAGAGGAAAGGTAATGTTTTCCTTATGGGTACTCTGTATTTCCCTACACACATTCAAGGACTGCATTTATACTTTCATCTGTAGCACCATGCTGGTATGTTTGGTACTGCTATCAACTTAATGTAGCTGTCCCTAGAAATGATGGAAGCAACCTAACTTCAGTTTATCACAGACATGACCACATGCTCTCATATTTAGGAGTGTAGCTGTGAGCCCATGTGTAGAATTAGCAGCAATTCTGCATAAAAAGTGTTGTTACATTCAGTATGGTGTTGTCATGCCATACTTATCTCTTGACCTGTAATGCATTAGTGGTAAAGACACCACATCAGCCCTGGAGTTTTTCCCAAAGATATTGTAATCACTCAAAATTCTTTCTGAGTGGTTTTTTGTTGTCAGACTTTCTTTACTCTGAGGGATATTGGAGAGAACTTGCACTTAATCTTTGCTTTTGTAGGACTGTTATTTCCTTTTTGTTGTGAGAACTCCTGAGAGGCACTACTCCTCCCTAACTATTTCTGAAGAATCTAAACTGGAAGGAACTCAGAAAGATAGTTTCCTTTTTAGAGAATGTCTGTCTCTATGGATATCACTGTTAGGAAAACTTTTCTCTGGTCATGATGACTGTTTAGGTCTTTATATTTTTGGTTTAGATTTGTTAGCTATAGTATTGATTTAATCAAGCTTTTGATAATATTTCTATTATCAAAAATCTTATTTCCTCTCTCTCTTCCTCTCTGCCAAACACACACAGCCTTTTCTCCCCCTGAGTTTCTGATGAGGAACTGCTGTCCACATGATTTTTGTGTGGTCTGTAGTCATAAGCTGCAATTCTTAAATGTTTATTTTTTTTGTGGTTGTATGAAAATATTGTAGTTATGAGATAAAGACCAATTTATACCTCTATTACATGTTGTCAAAAAATTAGAGCACATTGAGAGGTCAAAATTTGCATCCACACGAGTGTGAAGGCAATACTATAAAAGCCATATATCCAGCAGTCAGGGCAAGGCACTAGGATTGTAACATACCTAACTTTAAAAAAGGGAGAGAAAAAAATTATTCTTTATGCTGTTTTTCTTGAGGTGGCACACTGAAAGACAATTGTACTCTTTTCTTAAAAATAGGAGGTTAATCAAGTAGTTAAGATTTAGAGTTTAAATCTGTAATGAGATCCAATAGTACAGGACCTTTCAGAGAAATGGCATCTTCATGCTCCAGATATTTTCCCCATCTGCAAAGAGAACATTTTTTCCTCCAAATTTCACAGATCTACTCAGTGACCAGGAGTGTTGCAGACTATTTCTATAAGTATGCAAACCACTCTACGCTTGACACTGCCTAGATTTCACCCTGGCCAGTTCTACTTTCAAGTAATTGTTTAGTTTTTAAAATAAATATAAGGGATGTTATTTCTCTTTTGATGATCCTTCCTCTTTAGACAGTACACAGAGCCTTAATCATCTCAATCAGATTACACCCCTATCCCAAGGGACTTCTCTACTGAAGTAAAAATTTGGCAGTCCAAGTTTTTATAAAAGCATTTTTTCTGGACTAAGGTGGAGCAGAATGGTATTCTGTCATTTCTGAACTGGTAAGTTTGTTGGAGAGGATAGCCTGTTTATGTAAATTAGAGTTGCTTATGGTAGGGAAAGCACTGCTTTTATTTACCATGAGACTGAGTCAGAGCTGTTTCCATTTGTGAACTGGAGAGAAGTAACCCAGTTCCTCCCACATGCACATATTCCCCGGAGAAAATGGGTCTTGCTGGAGGAGGTGGTTTGGATCAAAGGCTATTGGCACTGCACAAGAAAAACGAGGAGAGAACAATTCAATACAAGCATTTAATTGGATTTTATCAGAAGGACTGCCAAATGAATACAATGCCAAGAAACTTTACCTGCAGCTCTTTATTACAGTTTCTCTGTCAGAAAAACTGTGCCTTCTTATCTGTGCTGTTACTTGAGCAGTGTCTCACAGCATTTGAGGTTGGGGCCACACAGTCAGGGTATTGTGTATCATTGCCAAGTCTGTAAATACAGTTCATGTTTGTTGGCAGCTCCTCTGTCCATCAACATTACATCATCCCTAGACCAAACCCATGATAAAAACATTTTCAGACCAAGTAATTCAGCTTCTGACTTAAAAGTCCCCAGTATGAAAGGTGACCTCAGTCCATAGGTACCCTGTACTCTCAATAGATTGCTTCCTTTTCCAATACCTATCCTGTTTGTGAGTTTTGAAAAAATGTTAAAACTAAGTTTATTTAAGCCAAATGAGATCGTCGGGTGGTCAGATTCTTCTGAATAATCACAGGTATCAAGTATCTTCTGCAGTTCTGTACTTCTTGGATATTCTGTGTTGCCAGAACAGCAGTACAACTCTTTGATCACTGTAGGTAAGAAATGAATGGAGGAGGAGTTCAGTATTGTATTTCCATCAGGCCCTTTCAGCATCTTCCTGTTTCATACTAAAGCCATGACCTTTTAACTCAGATCAGTCGTGTTGCTCAATAGTGGCAAGGTTCCACTACTTCTCTGAATTGTTTTTTCAGCTTCGTCTTTGTGTAATTCTTGTATTTCGTTTTCAGCTAGACAGAGGTGCTGGGATTACTGTCATGGTCATTGCTGTCATGGTCACTGCTATCATTGGCAAAATCCTCCAAACCCTCTTTCAGCTTTTCTAAGTCTTGAGCTTCCCCATATTGTTCCTTGTTGCCTTAATTGTATGTGGTACTTTAAGTTCTTCTCATGCTCAGCATAAAATTCAGCATATTCTTGGTAATTACCTTTGGATATGCCAGAGGATAATTTTCTTCAGAATTCTGCTGCTTCCCATTAGCAAGCAATGCCATCAGTCCTTCCTTATCCTTGCAATTCCTCAGGGGAATTGTAGTGAGTTAACACAGACATTTGTTAGAAGCTTCTTGCTCAATAACATTTCAAATGTGTCAAATCAAACTTCTAAACAAAGCAGATATTTGAATATGGGAAAAGGTATGATTACTGTGCTTGAGGAGAATCTCACCCTTTTTTTTTCTTTTCCCATTAGCTGAGAAAGTTGACAAGATAAGTTTTTCCAGTTATTGTTTTAACTTCTTTGAATATTCTAAATGGTGATTTTCCTTTGGGATATAATATAAGAAATACATTTCACTGAAGAGAAATACTACTGGTATTAGAGTTACTGGTTTTGACTTTCCACATTTAATCACCCATACTTCTAATTTTTGATAGCATTCTCTTTCATTCTTCCTTTATAGTTTGACTTGCAAAATCAAGCCATGACCAATAGCTTGAAACTATGTGAAGCTACTCAATCCTTCTTGTAGGGGGGTACCTAAGTAGAAGTTAGGAGAAGTGGTGTTAGAAGTGAGGTGTGTCAGGAATGGCCAGAGTATTCTTAGTTGCAGTAGTTGCTCTGTGTACTGTTAAGACTTGATGAAAAACATAATCACATCAACAGGGATTCTGCCCAGTACATCTTCTATAGACACACTGAGTGTGCACAGATCACTGCAAATCTTTTTGTCTAGTCAAGACTGTACTGAGAAAACTCAGTAAAGCTTGACCTACAGCATTTGGGTTTGGACAGCAGGAAGTCTGCCACTAAAGCTAGCCAACGTTCATACAGTCAGAGAAAGTTCCTAAATCCCAGATTTTTAAACACTCAGATGAGGAATACAAACTTGGTGAAATCTACTAATTCTAATAAGTTTTAAAATGCTGTTGTTCTGCTCTGAAAGTCTCCAATACCCAAAAATGAAGCCTTAGCATTGATTCATTCTAAGTGAATGTGATCAGATGTAGTAGAAAGCCCTTTACTGAGCAAGTACACAAAATAAATCACCATGTCGGAAGACTGATATTACCATTTAAGTAAAGTTTGCATTGCAAGTGTGGGCTTCAAGATTTCCTGTCTGTGTCAGGGATTTCCAGACAATGTCACTTACCAATTATGCTTTCAGTAAAAAAAAAAAAAGAAAAAACAAAAAAGTTACATCTCCCTAATGCTAATTTAACAGGGTAAATGAATCATGTCTGTTAAAAGGAAGCCACAATGCATATTTTACATAGAAATGAGTGTTCCTTGAGGGCTGTGAAAAAACTGACAAAGGGGATTTTAATGGAAATTAATAACCTTCTTAAAATAGAATCAGGACTGCAGATACTTATTAAATTATGTTAAGTACATTCAGACAATTTTTATGCATCACTCATCAGAACTTAAACCAAGTTTTGATGCTTGGTTCCAAGTCTGGGAAATTCATAAACAAACATGAGGCAAAGAAATGGCACGTCATTAAATTCTAAAAACTATACTTGTGAAATGAAGATACAGCTGGGTGGTGATTGTGATGACAGGGACTACCCTACTTACAGCTGTGTCCTCCCTGTATCCTGCCTTTTCCCACAAGATACTTCATGTTCTAATTATCTATTGTGATTTTTTTCCTTGCTTCTACTTTTTATTAACAGAATATTTGAATAAAGACATGAAGCAGTCTTTATGAAGTCTGATTAACACCTTGCTAATGCTTTACAGCTACATATGCTGCTACACAAATGTGAGATTGCTCTTGTCCCAAGTACAGAAAAAGTACTTTCATGTGTTTTGTAAACACTTAGGATTGTTAGCATACTTACAGTGTCTTTAAGATAGTCTAGATACATTTTTAAAGGAGACATAACTTTAATGCTCCCAAACTTCTAACTAAACAGAGAATCTATCGATTTTAAAAATAATACTCTTCTTCTTTTAAACAGGGGGATTGCATATGAGGAACACTGATGTGAAGAGAACTTCCTGAAGGTCATGCAAAGTCAAATTTAGCTAGCAGGGAATCACCTTCCAGAATAGACTGCAGCCTCAGCCTTCCACTGAAACAGTTGCACAAGGTGAATACATTTTGACAGTACTCCTAAGTATCTGCCCTTAAAGGAAATTTTTGCTCATCACCCGGTGCAGTGTAGGGGGGACCAGTTATTTTGAGAAGGATTGCAGTGCCTGCAGATTGCTTAAAATTTCTGCAGAGAAACGGGAAAACCAGAAATGCTTTTCAGGCTGTTGAGGTGCTCATCGGGGCGATCTCCCGCCCCACCAAAAGAGCTCAGGTTTTCAGGAGCTGAGCTAACGCAGTGAGCCGCGGGAGGCGGCCGAGCCGCAGGGTGGATCCCCCAGGGAAAGGAGAAGCTGCGGTTTAGCCCCGGAAGCCAGAGACGGTCCCTCCTGCTAGAGCGGCGGCCCCGAATACTAATCCAGGGAGGTGGGGGGGAAGAAGCCGCGGGGCAGCGGAGGAGGGCGCGGATGCTGAGCGCTGTTGGGTCTGTCCCGCAGGTGATGGCCGGGCCGCGGCGGCCGGCAGCGCTCCGCACGGACCAGGCGCGGCGCCGGCGCAGGTAGCACGGCTCCATGGAGGGCAGCGGCGCGGCCCCGGAGGAGGAGGAGAGCGGGGCTGCGAACGGCGCTCCCCCGCCGCCGCCGCCCACGCCCGCCGCCCCCTGCGGCTTCAGCTCCTCCCTCTGCTTCAGCGCCGCCGCTGCCGAGCCGCAGCCGCCCGCGGCCGGCGGCCGAGTGGTGCAGAACCAGTGGGAGATCAACAACGCCGTCCGCCAGCCGGAGGAGGAGGATGAGGAGGTGGTGGGACCACGGGACCGGCCGTCGGAGGAGCCCGACCTAGTGATCGAGGTGTCGGGCCGCCGTATTCGGGCGCACAAGTCGGTGCTGGCGGCCAAGAGTGACTACTTTCGTGCCCGCGCCTCACGGGACGTCCTGCGGGTGAAGGGGGTGAGCTACGGGGCGCTGCGGCTGCTCATCGATTACGTGTACACGGCCCGCATGGGCGAGGTGCGGCACGACAACCTGGCCGAGGTGGTGAGCGGTGCCCGCGTCCTGCAGATGCCCTGCGCCCTGCACTGTGCCGCCGAGGCCATGCGCGCCCAGCTCTGCCTCGGCAACTGCTACCAGCTCCTCTGCCTGGCCAAGAAGCAGCGGCTGGCGGAGCTGCGGGAGGCTGCCTATCGCTTCATGAGCGACCATTACCTGGAGGTGCTGCGGGAGCCCAGCGTTTACGGCCGCCTCAGTGGCGCTGAGCGGGACCTCATCCTGCAGCAGCGCATGGATGCCGGCCGGCCCTGCTTGCTGGTGGCCGAGGTCAGCGACGCCTTCGAGCGGCCGGGTGGTGGCAGCCGGCCACAGAGCCGCGAGAGCAGTCGGCCACAGAGTCCCTCCTCCGTGGTGTCGCTGGAGGAGAGTGGCTCCCTCATTCACTACTACCAGGAGGGCAGCGGTGAGTGGAGAGTGCTGACGCGCCTGCCCGAGGAGGCCAATGCCAAGGGCTGTGCCATGTGTGTCCTCCACAACTACCTCTTCCTTGCGGGGGGCATTGTGACGGGGCCGCTGGGCAGTGAACCCAGGGCCCGCCTTTCCGACAAGGTCTTCTGCTACAACCCCCTGACTGACACCTGGAGCCAGGTGCGGCCGCTGGCTCAGCCCCGCTCGCAGCTCAAGCTGCTGGCCCTGGATGGTTACCTCTATGCTGTGGGTGGCGAGTGCCTCTTCACTGTGGAAAGGTATGACCCGCGGTCCGACCGCTGGAGCCCTGTGGCACCTCTGCCCAAGGGTGCCTTTGCTGTGGCTCACGAGGCCACCACTTGCAACGGGGAGATCTATGTGTCAGGAGGCTCCCTCTTCTACCGCCTGCTCAAATATGACCCCAAGCGTGACGAGTGGCAGGAGTGCCCTTACAACAGCAGCCGCCGGCGCTCTTCTGACATGGTGGCCTTCAAGAGCTTCATCTACCGCTTTGATGTGAGCAGTGGCCGTGGTGGGGAGCAGGGCCCAGGCGGCGGGACGAGCGGTGGCATTGAAGTTTTCCGGTACAACACAGTGGCCAAGTGCTGGAGCCAGTGCGCCAGCCTGCGGCCCAGCGGCGGCCCCATCCAGCCCTTCCGCTGTGCCCCCTTGGGCAACACCATCTACTGCGTCAACCGGACCGGCACCCTTCGCTTCAGCCTAGCCCAGGACGGTGAGGTGGAAGCAGATGGTGGGCTCAAGGGCACCTTTGATGGGGAGCTTCTTAAAGCTCCCTTGGATGCCAAGGGTGTCCTCCTACCCTTCGTGCTCACTCTGCCTGAGAGGGTGGACAAAACAGGGGACCAGGAGGGCTCCCTCCCACTGTAAGGGGGCCAGCCTGGCTCTGGCTTCCTGAGAGGGGAGTTGCGTTGCAGATCCACAAACTAACATCTACAGAGGAGACCCTCTCTATTCTGTCTGCAGAGAAAAAGGACTTCCCCTTTCCTCCTCTCTGCTCTCAAGATGTTGAGCTGGTTTTAACTCAATTGTAACTCTTCTCATGTTTGCTGGGCTTTGTGTGAAAAGCCAAGCACACAAAAGTAAAAGCTGCTATAAAGGATAATCTCTAGATTATGTTTGTGCCAATCCCCAATCTGAGAAAAACATTTTTAAACCTGGATTTCCAAAATATTCTTGACAACAGTGTCATAATGGGACGTTAGTGTTGGTTGTGTGTTTACACGTAGTTGCAATCTGGGTTGGAGACTTTGCTGTCCTTTGTGATGTTTTTCCCCCCTGGAATGATACTGAGGGATAAACATTGCTAGCAACATAGTTTAGCTGTATTTGTTTTCATGTTAAACCAACTATTTCCTGTGTTTAAAAAGTATAGGAAGAACATCTCCATCACAGCCTTTCATTTCTGCTGCAATAGATGCTTTAAGGAAGCTGTGGCACTGTGTTAGTCCCAGGAATTTCAACCACAGATGATTTAACAGATACCAAATTTAATGTTTTAAGTAACACAAATGTGAGCCACATGTTTTACTTGGTATGCAAAGAAAAAGAAAAAAAAAAGTGAAGCTACCTTTCTAAAATGTGGCATTTTATGCTAGGTATGAAATGTTGATATGTTCTTTAATTGAAAAAGGCAATGGTTTCTCTATGAAAAGATACTCTTTTATTATTTCTCGTGATACAGAGATTTTGAATTAAAAATGAACTGAAGCTCTTCAGATTGCAACCAGTTGACATGACCATGTATGGCACTAGAGCTGGGGAATAAGTTTGTACTTCATATGCTCTTTAATTAACTGCAGGTCAAGGAAGGTTAACCTAAACCAACCTGTGGCAAAAGGCCTTTCCCTCTTATTTTCAAGACCATCAAAAGGGGACATGGAAAATAGGAATGTGCTACACATATTGATTATATTGTGCACTAGCATGATGTTACTTCTCCGTCTTTTGATTGAGAGACTGCTTTATTTATTTTGAACTAATGATTGCTGTAATCAATAAGTCTTTGTTAATTGCAGTACGTGCTGTTGGCGTACGCTGTCATTGTGATTCTAAACTGCCCAAGAGTGCTGTTTGTGGGGCAGCATCCAAATGAATCAAAACCATACAAAAAAAATCTTCCTGCCTGTGGAAAGTTGGAGCACACTTTTTGTCATGTTACTCAGAACAGGAAAACCTGAAATGTCTACACAGACTATATTGAAAAGGGCACATGCATTTATTTTATATATTTTATTTTTAAAAAAAATCAGTAGGCAAGGCAAACGTTTTAGCTTTATGGTAAATCACTGAGAAACCTTTTCTGAAAAAATAACCTGTGTTTTTGCTGTTACATTGCTGTATATTCAGCATGGAACTCGCATGGACTGTGGAAGAGAACTAATTCTTTATACTCAAAGTTCTAGTATAGATTCATATTTTAGAAAGACATAGGGACATTGCATCAAAAAAGCAGATCTTTTTATGTTTTATTAAGATGTTTTTGTTAAACAGGACTTTAGCATTCTTACACATAATTGCTAGTTCCAAAGGAAGGCAGCAGGCTCTGTCCTATGAGACACCATCTGTACAAAACAGAATAGTGAACTTAATAGATGCTTCTTTTCTTTTTATTTGGGTTTTTTTTTTTCTCTTCTCATTGTTTTTGCACAGGGTTTTAATGCAGCTGATCTGGTTAGTCAATCTGTAGAAAACAGTGGTCCAGTCCTAGAAGTTCTTAGCCAAGTGAGGCTGTTCCCTAGTGAGCTAATTAAAGCATCAGCCAGGCAGGAGCTGTAGGCCTGCGGAGTGTGACATTTATCTTAGCCTCAGTACAGGCTGGTGCAGTGGAATTTAACATCCTTCACAGAGTATTTGATTTAATTCTCAGATGAGAATCCTTGGAAATATTGACTCTAGATTAAATTACAGTACTGTAGTTTGAGCAGGAAAGAAAAATTACATGTTTGCTTTCAGCATAATTTTTATGTTAACTGTAGAAAGTATTTCAAGCTGTGTAATGCAAGGCCTAGGTGCATACTTAAACTAGAGATGTAAGTGCTAGGCCAGATTTTGAAATAGTAGCATCACCAGGAACACAAGGAAATGTCTGTTTTATCTTGCAATACAAGGCAATTTCATAGTTCAAAGACTTACGTAGTACAGTTCTTACGCTACAGTGTAGTGAGGTATCGAACCATGTTTTGCATTCCTATTAATTAAGCATTTTCATTCTGCTAGTGCCATGAAAATGCTTCTAAATGAGTTTTGGGAAGTTTCCATGGTTTAAGATGTGACAATAATCCACAAACTTTTGGAATAGAATGAACCATATCTTTTCTTCCAATATTTATTGCTGTACACTATGAAGAAATACATTTCTACAGTAATAAGCATTTGAAAAACCTGCAGTGGTTTGTGTTTTTGCTAGCTCCTATTTTTTAAAAAAGTTGAATCAAGTGCTTACCTGCTTTCACTGTTTACACAGTGTTAGTGGGGAGAGTCTGGGCTTCATTAGTAGCTGTCTATCAAACCTGTTTCCTTTGCACACTGCGTAGTCATAGCCTGATGATTAACAACAGAGGCATGTTTCTAGCCAGATTTCCTACTCTGTGGCCTCTGTTTCCTCCCTGGAAGGCCTGAGGCATGTTTGCTGAGAATTTTCTCCCCCAATTCTATCTTCACAAAGAAACCCCCTCCCTGCCTCCAAACTTGGGTACTAGAACCATAATGTAGGTAGTCTTCAGGCATTTAAAGACTGAAATTGTCATTCCAGAACCCTACAGTTTTACTTAAACCTAGCAACAACTATGTCTTTGACATGTGGAGCTGCTGAGCAGTCCCCCTCCACCCATTTGGAGCTGCTCAGAGCAGTTCCACATCTACCTACCAAGTGGGATATCCAGAAACCACTGATGTAATAGGGTTTATTTTAGGTACAATCCAAAAGGCCAGGCCACCCTCAAGTTGTGTTTGCATGTGTTTTGCTTTTAAAACAGCCATTTTCTCTAGAGTAGCCTGAAGTGAACCATATTTGCATAGAACATGGGGACCTGTGTGTTCTTTCTTTGCCTGCAAGCATTCAGTCCACGTCTCCCACCCTCTGGTTGTCAGTGGGCTAAAGGAACGATTGGGACGAGTCCAGGCAGTCATGAAGGTAGTCATCCTCACTGGCTGATCTGAGACTAGCTAGAGAGACATCGTCTGTCTGTCCTGCTGTCTGTCTTCCGTGAATCTTACAGTCCTCCCATTTCAATGGGACACACAGGAGATAGTTGCCCTAATTTTTCAGGTAGTAATTTTTCCTCCCTAGACTATTCCTGTTTTCAAGATCATCTGCTAGAGAATTTAGGATTCCCATAAGAGAATTTGAATTCCTGTAAGCTGAGTAAGGACTGAACTGGGGCCTTGCAGTTGGTGTGTGTGTGTGTGTGTTCTCAGATTTCGATGGCTGTTTGAGAGTACATTGGGACCACCACCTCTGGCTCTTCCTCAGGAAGCTTCATGTAAATCCTCCAAAAGCTTACACACATAGGCTCCTGTACATTGAGTTCTGAGTAGATTGCAGGCCCCACCTCCTGGATGGGTAATGCAACGTAGATTTACTACAAGTTGCTACAATCAGTCATGTTTTCTTTGGAACGCTTTTGCAAATAGGCTCTGTGTTTTGGGTCACCAGTCTTAGATGAGCTCGTCCATGCACTGTACTGGGCATCCAAACATACTGGGCAGCCAACAGGTAATTTGGGTTCTTCTCAGGGGTGCCACTTTTGTAAAGAGGCATTGCTGTGCTGCCGCGCTCCCGCCCCAAACACACCACCACATCGTACCTAATAATGAAATGCCTAAAGCCTTCATTGAACCTCAAACTAAATCCCAATTTAAATAAAGAAATGCTATTAACAAATGAAACTTAACTGTTTCTATCTGCTAACTTTTTCTGTAAACTAGAAATATTAATTGCAGCAAAAGCATGTGTACAGATTCTGTTTACACTTGAAACTAAGTCAAAAAAGTAATTGGCAAAATAATAATCCCGTTTGATCAAAACTGGCACTGTTAAAGCAACATGGGGAGGATGTTAGTCATACCCTAGTAATGGCTAAAAATGTGCAGTTGCTGATGTCAATTATATCCACAGAAAGTTTCTTTGTAAATAAATACCTGGTTAAATTTAAAATGATAGAAGAATAAATTACTCACATGAAAGCCATACCTCTCCTGTGCTGTTTGATTGGCTCTCAGAGTGCTGTATCCCAGTAACCACTATTCATGAGTGGCTATTGCTTTTCCTGATTTACATCATGCATTCCATTGACTGCTCCATAAATCTGTTAACTTTCATTATCACAAAGCTTAACAGTGGTGCAGGTGCTCAGTGTCTGGACTGATACGTATGTTTTCTGCTGGAATGAATCCAGATCTAGACACAATCCTATCTTTGGGCTTTTTGTTTTTTTTCCCGTAGCATTGCTCCTGAGAAACTTAAGAAAGCACAAGAAGGGGAAACAGTAGTACTGTTGAGCAGTTGTAGTAAAAAAACATATTAATTTTTCTTTTTTCTGCTGTTACTTTGTAAACTGGATTTGCATTGGTTTAGCAGAACAGCCCTGTTTGGCTACTTCCAGTAGTATGAGTCTGAGTAGTATTGTAGCAGAGTATGTTTTTACCTCTTTCCTGCCTCAGCTCCTACTCTGAGATAATATAGTGCAAGTTTGTAATAGTTCCATGCACTTACTACATTGCTGGAACTATTCTGACTTTGTATTACTGCTACTAAAAGCAGAGACTGACACACAGGCTCAGTGAAATTGTGTGCTCAGAGTATGTGATGACACACTTTTCATTTGGTTTGGCCTACTGAATGTTGAGAGCTGCTGGAATGAACCCACTGGTATTAGGAATCAGCAGGAGTGCTGGTTTTGGCTAAGATAAAGTTAATTTTCTTCACAGGGGCTATATTTTGGATTTGTGCTGAAAACAGTGATGATAATAGAGATGCTTTCATCATTGCTGAGCAATGCTCACACACAGCCCAAGCCTTTTCTGCTCCTCACCCCACCTTACCAGCGAGGAGGCTGGTGGTGCACAAGGGCTTTGGAGGGGACACATCTGGGACAGCTGACCCCAGCTGACCACAGGGATATTGCAGACCATTTGTTGTATGCTCAGCATATAAAGTTGGGGAAAAAAAGAAGGAAGGGAGGACATTTGGAGCGATGGACTTTGTCTTCCTAAGTCATCTTATGTGTGTTGGAGCGCTGCGTCCCTGGGGGTGGCTGATCACCTACCTACCTGCCCATGAGAAGCAGTGTATAAATTCCTTGTTCTGCTTTGCTTGCAGGTGCTGCTTTTGCTTTAGTTATTAAACTGTCTTTATTTCAACCCAGGAGTTTTCTCGCTTTCCCCCTTCTGATTCTCTTCCCCCACATCACTGGGAGGAAACTAACTTTTGTGAATTACTCAAAAGGAAAGAAATGGGAGTGAGGGATAGGACAGAAGAGATGAATTCCGAGTCAAAAGTACCTACTGTATATCCAATTGAAACAAATAGCAGGGAAGGGAAACAACAGTTGGTACTTGAGACAGTGATGACTATAGGGCCAGTATTTTTTCAACTGTTTCTTGAACAGGTTTTACCAATTATATTGCTACTTATTACCATTTTACACCTGCAATGCTTCTCAAATCACTACGGTGTTTAAGCTACCTTTGCAGGAGTCTCTTGCTTTGTTTTCAAGTTGTAGTGGATAAACCCTTGACAAATCTGAACTAATGAAATACAATGTCGATGCTGCCACTTTCAACAGATTAATGCAAATTCTTTAGGCGCTGTTCACAGTCAGGTGAATTATATGTGTAACTGATGTATTAATAGTTTCATTTTTGAAGCATATATAGGCAAAGCTTTTTATGTACTCCCAATTTATGTTGAATGAAATAAATACTTTAAAAAAGCTTATGCTCCCCATTAGGGATTTCTGGGTAATTGTTGTTTTTTCTTTGTTATCCATCCAATCAGTAAGTGGTATTATATTTTTTCTTATAAAGCAAAGACAAAATTATGCAAATTATCAGACAGGTAAATATTTAGAAAATGTTTCTAAGGCTAAGCAAAAAAGGAATATTTTTATTTTACAGTGCCCTGGGTGTTTGGAACTTAAAATATTTTGCTGTGAAAGCATTTTCCTAAATGCAGATTAGCATATACTCCACTTAACTTTTATTTCCTTTTTTTTTTTTTTTTTTTTTTTTTTTTTTTTTTTTTTTTTTTTTTTTTTTTTTTTTTTTTTTGTTGTCAGTATGTTAAAGTGCATTATTCATTTATTGACGTTACATGTAGGTTTTTCCTACATGTAGGATACTCTCCTGTATTATGTCCCACATGTCAGATTTTTGTCTGGTGTAGATTTACAGCAGCATGAGTAAAAGCAGAATCAAATACAGTTTAAATTCCCTACTTTGTCTCCTTATTTTCTCATCAGATATTTTGCTTGACATGAGGCCATATGACCTGTTTGAAAACTTCAGTATTCATAGACTACATGGGATTGGACTTGCTGTAATTTCTCTTACTTCCTTACCTTTTGCAATATGCAGGTTTTCTTACATTTTCTTAAGAAGGGCTAAATTCTGCTGCTGATTGAGCCAGGGTAAATCTGGAATAGCTCAATTAAACAGCTTAGGTTACCAGGTTGGTTTTTTTTTCCATTTAGCCCCAGAGTTTTGAGTCTGTTATAAAATCACTGGGAACCTCCTTTGGAAAACAAAAATAAAAGCTCTGATTGAATAAGACTCAAGCAGTAAGTCACTTGAATGTGTTTTGGGTTTTTTTTTTTTCTTCACAAGAATATAAATTTTTAGCTCTTAATTTTTCTCTGTGTTGTGAACTACACATTGGGAAGTTTCATGGCAATGAAGTTTATCTCAAGCCTATACTCCTGCTTGATTCACTGAACATTTTGCACCTACATCTCTCAGGATGCTTAGGCTCCAGGCTCAAGCTTCAGGTATAGTCTGGTAAATTATGTGACTTGGTCCAATAACTTGTGCCATGGTTAATTTTCCAGTTCTGAAATGATAAACCGAACAATTGTAGCATAAAAGATTTGGGTTTCAAAGACCTCTCAATCTGGGCATACAAAATCCCCCGTTGGTACCTATTTCCAGGTATAATGCATCACTTGTGTCTGTATATTCAAAATTCACAATAATTTTTCATATAAAAACATCTGTAAGCAGATGGTGTTGGCCTGTATTCCCCTGAAGGCAGAGAAGTCTTGCTGGAAAGACAAATCTTCAGTTGCTAGACTGTGCAAACAGGGAAGTCACATATAGCTGTGAACTCCCATGTCATACTGAGTAATTATCAAGTGAGTAACATCTCATCAAACATGAGTTTACAGCCTATGGACAGATGTACCTATCACAGGTGGGGATAAAGGAAACTCGAGTAGGTGTTAGGTGGGACTATGCCTAGAAACAAACCCCATTCCTGTTTCAGGATTGCATTGTCAAGGCAGCTGTCAAGAGGAGAAAGAAGTCCTGGGCTAAATAACAGCATGTGGCCAAAAGAAGGCTGGGAAGCAATAAATGTGGCAGTACCTGCAGGCTTGTTCTTAAAGTGAATGTGAAGAGGATCTCATAAATCCCAACTGGAGCAGCTGCTGGTGAGCAAGTTAAGGCAGAGGGAGAGGGGCATGACTGTGCCTGGCAGCAGTGACACCTGCCTGGTGGGTCACTGGCAGTGAGCAGTGACCAGAAGGAGCTGAATGAGCATCCTCTGAATGACAGCTGGCCTGATGCAGAGTCCTTGGGAAGGAGAGAGAAAATGATACGTGCCTGGCTGTCCTGTGCCATGCCCTTCACTGCTGTGCTCCCTGTGCTGGCGGTGCCAGTTCTCAAATTCCCTGCTGAGCAGCTTATAATGGAGAGTCTTGCAGGTGATGACTTTTTATCCTCCTTTTATTTTTAAATTTCTTTTTTTGCCTTTTTTTTTCCTTTTGTTCTGCAGTCTTCTCTTTTTTTACCTTTCTCATTATCATTTTTTTCCCTTTGTCTCTCTACTCAAACATTTCAATATGTGACACAGGGAGTCTGTGAATTTGGAAATTTGGAAATATTACCTATTGCAAATCACTGAAACTCCTTTCCTCAGGAGGCAAACTTTCCTCCCATAGCCTGATATTTTTTCCCTTCATACAGCCCTAAATTTTTAGATGAAGTGTGGAAGACTTAATGTATCTGTTTTTTGGCAAAATGGAACCATGAGCAGTTCACTTCCTAAGGAAATAGAGAAAGTTGTGAGCAATTAAATTAGTCATAATGGAGACTTAAGGCAAGAGTTCGACACCTTTTGTTAAACTGACCTGAGCTTTAAGTCACCTCAGAACTGCAGCTACAGGAAAAAGGAACTGCAGGATTAAAGTATTGACCAGCTAGGAGGTCTTGGAGGAATAAAGTAATAGCACAAACTGTGGCAGAATAAAGTTAATTCCCACATCATTTAGATAACAGTGATCTGGGACTAATTTACTGACAATTTGTTAGCATTACTGATGAAGGTTGTTCTTTTTTCCTGTGTCATCACAATCCCCATCTCCATGTCTCATCCAGTTCTGTTCCCTGACCCGCTGATTTGCAGTTCGCTGCACATGTGAAAAATCATTGCAGAGTTTGACAGTAGAAGATTTGTAGGATTTTTTTTCTATTCTGTACAGGATCTATCATCCTCAATGATGGATCATTTGTCTCTCCTATATTTTTCTAGTTAAAGAAAAATGTAGAATGCTAGAACTAGAGAAATAAAACCTGAGATTAAACATAACTTTAGTGAATGCAGTTAAGGCAAATAAAGTTTTTCCATCATTGTCAGTCTCTTTTTAGACCATAATTAAGTCCTAGATAGGCAGAGAGTCGTCTTAAAAATACATTTTAAACTATTAGAAAAATGCAAAATCATGCATGTCCATGAGAGAGTTCCTTGGTTTGGAGCAGCATGGTGTGAGAAATTACATGGGCTAATTAAAAGAAGATTAACCTCTTTGCTTTACATTCCTACTGAAGTTCTCTGCTCCTGTGTATCTACTGAAAGCAAATGGTGATTCTGACTGTGTGACTCAGTAACACACCTTGGAGGTGCAGTACTCTGTCACCCTATTCTAAAACAAATGGTGTATTTCAAAATACTTCCTGAAAGAAAAATTGAAACACCCTAATTAATTAGCCCCCTTCATACTTCCTTCTTAAGTGCTTCTTCAAGTAATCCAGTGTTACTTAACTGTAGATTCTGACTGTGTCTAAATCTGGTTTGCCTTTGACAGAGTTGGAGTATACAGGTATGATGGTAGTGCATATGGAATGTTTGACAAGCCTGGTCAATGCTGGCTCTTACTCAGCTGGCTGACACACTAATGGGAAGGAGCCCAGCCTGTCATTTAACTCATCATACCTGCTGTCATTGCTACACCAGACTTTATGAGCAGGTTGTTGGTGTACAGGTGTGTGTCAGAGTACCTGTCACTACATATGCCTATAACATGTTTTTATCCCAGGCTAGCTAGGGCCATTGTGCCTCCAGACAAGAAGAGGAAGTCTTTGCTCACCTCATACTCTCTTGTAAGCAACAACTGGTAGGCCATGGGGAGCAGAATTTGTTCCTGCTCGCACTGCCTTCCTGACCAGACTGCTTGGCTCAGTGCCTGCAGAAGGGAGCAAAACTGTATATTCCCTGAGCAAAGGTGTATATTCCCTCTCCCAAAAACAAAAGAGGCACAGTGGCTCAGATGTTATTCCTTTGTAGGTCTCTGGGGAGAGCACACTTCCAGGCTTCCTCTTACTCAAATTACAAGATTGCCCTTCATTCCCAAGAGCCAAGAAAAAAGCTCAGCTTATATGTGGTAAAAAAAAAAAACCTGTAAAAGTTATTTTTGAAGGGGCAGTAAAAAAATCAGGATTTGCAGTGGCTATCCTTGATGCTGCTACTGTATTTGAAACAGCTGGAGTGTAGGTCTCCTCATCAGACCCAAGGGGCTTTCCTCTGCACAGTTTAAATGTGAAGGGATTCAGGCAATAGGTTCACTTTCTCTGAACTCTCCCAGCTCTCTGGGAGCACTAAAAAAGGCAAAGGAGCCAGCTGAGTGACTGCAGTAGTTCATCTTCCTCAGTGCTGCACAGGGATTCTGCACTGCTGTGCTGTGATGTGGGGAGAGAACATGGGAGCAAAAAGGGGCTTGAGTGAATCATTCTTAGCGAAAAGTCACAGGTGCAGATTACCTAGGAAAACAGTTCCCTGTTAATGTTGACTCATATGCTTGCACATAGTTGAAAAAAAGACAGATAATTCTATGGACAATGAATGATTAGTTCCTGCTGCTCTTGCATTAGGAAGTAGAGACATCAAGAAGACCTAGTTTTACTTCTGGGTCTGCTGTAAAATTCCATGTATTACTGGGGAAACGCTCTTAAAGCTTCAGTTCTCTCCAAAGAGAAAAGTGGGGGTGGAGAGGGAGAGAAAGGTAGTTCAACCCATTAGGTATTAGAAATAAGTTTGTGGTTTTTTCATCAGTAAAGGACTTTGGGAATATTGACTAATACTGTGGAATGCATTTTACTGTTTCAACATTTTACTCCATGTGAACAGAATATTTTCTTCCTGTGAACCTGACCAGAATAAAAAGGAGTGAAACTGTTCCTACTTTTGTCCCTATTTGTGGCCTTTTGCAGCATTCCTGGGCTCTGAAAAGGCAGTGGGATGCTTGCCTTTCTGTAGATGCACAGATATCTGCAGTGGAGGCACCAGGTGAGTAAAAACACAAACAGATTGGAAATGGTAATAGCTCTGCTGTGCCTATTCCTCCACCTTCATCTCTTGTCCCTGTATTTTATATCAGGAAGGACATGGAGTCTTTAGAGAAGTGTGATGTTCTTCCTCACAGTCTTTTCTGAAAGACTTTATCTGAAATAATGTTCAGTGCCTTGCCATCTGCCCATAATTAAGGTTACAAATCAATTTTCAATTTTTTCACTTCAAATTTTTAAGATTTTGGGTGAGATTATGTTTTTATCTTAACTCTCAAAAGTTATGTCAGAAGTACTGAAAGGTCATTTGAGTCTCTTGTGTGAATTAAAACAGATGAGATCTTCCTTTTTTTTCTCTTCTGGAATCCTAAGAGTAAAATCTCATTATAGTGTTGAAGTGTTTTGTTTTGTAAACTTCAAATTTAGAATTCTGTCAGAAAAGAAGAGAAAAAAAAAAAGGAAGAAGTTTAATAAATCCCTAATACAAGGGAGAAAAGAACCAACCAAACACATTCCCTGGAAAGGGCTGCTTTTTCATTAGATTTCATAGGTTTTGTCAAGGGCTGCAAATCTGGATACTCAGAATCACAAGGTTGGAAGGGACCTTCAAGATCATCAAGTCCAACTGTTACCTGACGCCTCAACTGAGTGGCATATCCAGTCTTTAACACACCCAGCGATGGTGACTCCACCACTTCCCTGGGCAGACCTTTCCAGTATTTTATCACTCTTTTGATAAAAAACTTCTTCCTAATATCCAACCTATATTTCCCTTGACACAGCTTGAGACTATAATTTTTGGTTCTGTCAGTTGCTGCCTGGTGAAAGAGACCAACCCACACCTGACTACAGCCACCCTTCAGGGACTTGTAGAGAGTGATAAGGTCACCTCTG